AGATATAGTATGGGATGTCGTGTATAATAACTGACCATTGTTTTTTTCTACTTATTTAAATTGGGGTCTTTATAACACTTTGAAATATAATATTATTCAATTTCTTCAAAACACTGCAGTAATAAGGTTTCATGTGAAGTCCACACATATTATGGGATGTCCTGTGTAAGAACTGACCATTGTTTTTTTCTACTTATTTAAAATGCGGTCTTTATAGTATTTTATATTATGTTAATACCCCGTCTCTTTAAAATGCTGCAGTAAAAAGGTTTCATGTGAAGTACATATATAGTATGGGATGTCTTGTATAAGAACTGATCATTGTTTTTTTCTACTTATTTGAAATGGGGTCTTTATAGCACTTTATTTTATGTTAATACCCCATTTCTCTAAAATGCTGCAGTAAATAGGTTTCATGTGAAGTTCACACATAGTATGGGATGTCCTGTATAAGAACTGACCATTATTTTTTTCTACTTATTTAAAAGGGGGTCTTTATAACACTTTGAAATATAATATTATACAATTTCTTCAAAACACTGCAGTAATAAGGTTTCATGTGAAGTCTACACATAGTATGGGATGTCCTGTGTAAGAACTGACCATTGTTTTTTTCTACTTATTTAAATTGCGGTCTTTATAGTATTTTATATTAAGTTAATACCCCATCTCTTTAAAATGCTGCAGTAAAAAGGTTTCATGTGAAGTACATATATAGTATGGGATGTCCTGTGTAAGAACTGACCATTGTTTTTTTCTACTTATTTAAAATGCGGTCTTTATATTATTTTATATTATGTTAATACCCTGTCTCTTTAAAATGCTGCAGTAAAAAGCTTTCATGTAAAGTACATATATAGTATGGGATGTCCTGTATAAGAACTGACCATTGTTTTTTTCTACTTATTTAAATTGGGGTCTTTATAACACTTTGAAATATAATAATATACAATTTCTCCAAAACACTGCAGTAATAAGGTTTCATGTGAAGTTCACACATAGTATGGGATGTCCTGTGTAAGAACTGACCATTGTTTTTTTCTACTTATTTAAATTGCGGTCTTTATAGTATTTTATATAATGGTAATACCCCATCTCTTTAAAATGCTGCAGTAAAAAGGTTTCATGTGAAGTACATATATAGTATGGGATGTCCTGTGTAAGAACTGACCATTGTTTTTTTCTACTTATTTAAAATGCGGTCTTTATAGTATTTTATATTATGTTAATACCCTGTCTCTTTAAAATGCTGCAGTAAAAAGGTTTCATGTGAAGTACATATATAGTATGGGATGTCCTGTATAAGAACTGACCATTGTTTTTTCTACTTATTTAAATTGGGGTCTTTATAACACTTTGAAATATAATAATATACAATTTCTCCAAAACACTGCAGTAATAAGGTTTCATGTGAAGTTCACACATAGTATGGGATGTGCTGTATAAGAACTGACCATTGTTATTTTTCTACTTATTAGAAATAAGGTCCTTATAACACTTTAAATCATATTAATATACAATTTCTCTAAAACAGTGCAGTAAGAAGATTTAATGTGAAGTATACATATAGTATGGGATGTCCTGTATAAGAACTGACCATTGTTTTTTTCTACTTATTTGAATTGGGTTTTTTATAGCACTTTAAAATATGTTAATACCCTGTTCCTCCAAAACACTGTAGTTAAAAGTTTTCTTGTGTAGTACATATATAGTATGGTATGTCCTGTATAAGAACTGACCATTGTTTTTTTCCTACTTATTTGAAATGTAGTCTTTATAGCACTTTTTATTAGGTTATTAGCCCGTTTCTCCAAAACAGTGCAGTAAAAAGATTTCATATGAAGTACACATATAGCATGGGATGTTCTGTACAGGAACTGATCATTGTTTTTGTCTACTTATTGGAAATTGGGTCTTTATAACACTGAGTAATGTTAATACCCAATTTCTCCAAAACACTGCAGTAACAAGTCTTTATTTGAAGTTTAGAATGTGATGTCCTGTATCAGACCTGACTATTGTTTTTTTCTACATATTTTAAATGAGCAATTTTTTTCCAAATAGTAGGTAAGAAGAAGAAGTAAAAAGTATTCAGATGTAGTATATATGCATATAGCATGGGACATCCAGAATCAAACCAGATCAGTCTTTTATTTAACTTATGTCAAACAATGTATTTATAGCACTCTAAAGACTTTATAGCTCAATAATAGCACATTTCTCCAAAATGCTGCAGTAAGTTATTATGAGGTATGCATATAATATTGGATGTCCTGTCCATTGTTTTCTTCTGCTCACCTAAATGAGGTCTTTTACATGAGGTATTCATGTACATCCTGTATCAGAACCAAACTTTGTTTTTTTTCTACTTATTTCTTTATAGCACTTTAAAGTGTGTTAATGGTACATTTCTCCAAAATGCTGCTGTAAAACAGGCTTCATATGATGTATGCTTAGTATTTGACTTCCTGCATCAGATCTTATTGTTGTTCTATTCTACTTATAACAAATAATAAGGTCTTTACAGTCATCTAAAGTGTAATAATGCCCCATATCCCATATACTGAAAGAAGCATAACCTTTTAAATCCTGTTTAAATGAAATAAACATAAATTTGTAATTCAAATAATGTTTTGTTGGACTACTTTATGATTGTTTTCACTTTCTGAGGTTAGCCACGTTGTATAAAATTGCATTTAACCTTATTAGCAATGTACTGTAGTTGGCTAGGAGAAGTAGAAACGCATTCTGTGTATTTAGAAATCTTATATTTATTCTGTCCGTTTGATCTGCTATAAAATCATTTGAAGCAAAAAGATAAACTTGAGGAAATTAAAGGTAAGCCCAGAAACCAATTTCTTAAAATAACAACAGTCAAAAAAAGCTAATAAATTGTTTAATAAAGCATACGTGGGAGGAAAGGGGGATAAACTTATATTTCGTTGTTATCTCTCTGTTCTGGGGGAAATGGGTGCTCTGTGGAGCGCTCTCTGTGTGGCTGCTGGCATTACCGTAATGATAATAATACGCGCGCACCGAAATATAAAGCGCGGCTGGCTTGACTGTGTTTTTCCGAACCGCGGCTGGCTTGACCGCAGTAGTTTACGTGGAGTTGTGGACTGCGTTTGCGTGAGGCAGTCTGAAGTGGAGATGGAAGAGCTGGTGGGCAGCACCGGCGTTTTTGCGGGAATTCAGGCTCGATTTTGGCGAGGCTGCGGCTGAATTCTCAGGGAGAGTGGAGCTCTGGCTGGAGTTGTTGTTGTTGTTGTTGTTGTTGTTGTTGTTGTTGTTGTTGTTGTGTGTTCTTCCGTATCGATAGGTTAAATGGTGCGATGCTGGAGCGTTTTGTAGCGGGAAGCGAGCTTCAAGACGAAGATAACTGAAGTGGAAAACTCAGGTTATTTATAATGCTTCCGTAATCATCTAATAGGGCTGATTACGGAGCTAACAAGGAGCCAGCCGTGTTGATTATAAGCACGTGATCCTCTCGAAATTAGTTTATGAATAAACCACACAAAGGGTTACAGAAATAAAATTTCAGCAAATCAAACTAGTTTAAAGGATTTAGACCAAGAAAGAGTTTTACATGCAATATAATTTTTAGAGTCTTTTAAAGAGTTCACATATAAATCCTTTCTGAAAATAAAAAGTAAGAGTGTTTTTTTGAAAATATACATATATGGTGTAATATAAATTTAGCCAAAAAAAAAAAAAAAAAAAGCGATACATTAATAATTTACAATGAGTATCATCCACATTCAGTGAGTAGCCAAAAGAATACATTTTTTTTGGGGGGGGGCTATAAAAAAGTTTGTAAATAAGAATTCTTTAATAAAATTGGAAAAGTCAACCCCCCCCCAAAAAAAACTTTAGAGCAGGCTGCACTCCCAAAATAAATGATTTAGTGATTCATCATATTAAGTACAAAATAAGCATTTAGGGGTAAAAGTTTTATTAAATTTAGCTAGTTTGTTATTTATTGGATATTAATTATGATTTTGATTGAGACTTCAACAACTTTACTAGATAAAAATATTTTTTTTTTCTTTGAAGAAGCCAAAACTGATCCTAAACTATGTAACCACATATATTATTTAAAAAAAAAACTTTGCAAGCAGGTAAAGAGATCTGAGATTAATTACCAAGCGATTATTGTTTGACTACTGAGAAGAATTTGGTCAACAAAATGTGTGTTGTCGCAAATAAAAGAATCTAAAAAACCTTTGGGCCAGATTTGACTAAATGTATAACACAATCAGTATATGAAAATATGGGAAAATGTAAATTTTAAAACAAACGTCATAATAGGCTACTTGTAGTGGTGAGAGCAAATATGAGCGTTTGATTGTTATTATTTGTTGTTCTATTGCTCCATCTAGTGTCCATTGTGTAAATTGCAATGATGTGGTCTAACATTTGCTGTTCGTCAAAATGTTTTTTGGATCAGCAGGCTTTTATATTATATTTAGGATGATGAGTAATATAGCACATTAGCAACAAACCATTAGTGACATATGTAATGGTTAGTTGGTTAGTTAATATAATATGTTACAAATTAGGAATGTGCAAACTAAAAGATCAACAAAAATATTCTGCTTCTCTGTATTCATGTAATATATTGTCATGAACTAATTTCTCACATAACTCATTGTTTCTGAATCATGTGCAATCGTATAATCTAACTGCTTATCTGAATTACAGTATATCCTAAATCTACAGGACTGTTATATAAATTTACAGCATGCACATTATAACTTAAGTTGTTTACTTGTAAATAAAGTGGCAAAATGAACTGATCCCTTACTGTACCTTTTCATTGGACAATCAATTTAATTATTAAGTAATTATTGCTTTGCAATTCGCTGCATAGCTACATCATATTATTTTGAGAGCTGTCTTCATCAATTGTTAGACTACCGTTGAGCGGTGCAAACTTATGACAATTGGGCATTTTTCACTGTGGTAGTGCCCGGTAAGGTATGCTAATTGAAGACAGTGACGGAGTTCCGTTTGGTGAGTGACAGCTCGTTACCTGCTTTGTCCGTCTAGTGCGGCTCTCGTTGTCAGCGCGGTCAGGCTGTCGGTCACGTTTATTAATGCAGGTGACCGTCGAGCGCATCGAGCCGAGCGGCGGCTCTACCGGCCCGAACTATCTGCACGCTTTTCCGGACCGAAGTTTTCGTTGTGGTTTAGAGTTCGAGAAGTCTCGGCTTGACTCGGAGCGAATACTTCAATGGAAGAAGACAAGAGCAGCTCAGGACAGCATGAGTCCGGTTCGAGAGAGGAGGGATGACAGTTTAAAGTAAGCGGTTTGTCTTTCGCCTTCATGTCTAACATCAATTGTCGTTTTAGAGCATTGACCTGTTGAGTCTTTGTGTTTTCGGCCTGTTTAAGAAAAAAAAAAGTTTTGTCTGTTTCATACACTTGACAACAGAAGACAACATAGGCCTATTGTTGTGATGTTAAAATGAAGCAATAGTCAAAAACTGTGCTCTTTCATGGCAAGACCTTTAATATTTAATTGAATTGTGCTCACTACTTGATAACTAATTAATACAAGACTAATGTCAGGGAATCAGGGTGTAGTCTTTCCTCTGGCACGAGCAGATCTAATTGCTCAATCTACACCAGCATTTAGTTGCGACTGAAGTCTCTCACTAGAGCTGATCTTTGAAAAAATACGGAGGTGTAGATTTTGTTTTACTCTAGACTATATCTTATTGAAAATAAGTGCCATTTCAAACACTTCTCATTTACTCAAAAAAAAAAAAATGAAATTAAAATGTAAGGCCTTGGAGATTGTTTCTTTGCTGAGCATTATTGGGCTTAAGGTGAGTTTGTTATGAATAAATAGCACTTATACAATTAAATAATGAGTAATATTGTTCCGCACTAACCGTATAGATTTCCTCATTCCACATTTTAATAACTGACTGATATATACAATATATTATTATTATTTTTATTTACAAACATTTTGAGTACAAATTATGCAACAAATATGCAACAAGTGACTGCTGCAAGTCCACACAAACGGATACCATTAAAAATATGAAATTACTGTTAACCTACATTTTGTATATAAATAACAAAGAAGCATTTTTTCTAATACATTTATATTTTTAAATAATTTCTAAAGTGTTATGTCATAATGAATATACTCAGGGGGTGGCACAGTGGCTCCTTGCAACAAGAAGGTCACTGGTTCGAGTCCCGGCGGGGCCAGTTGGTATTTCTGTGTGGATTTTGCATGTTCTCCCCATGTTTGTGTGGGTTTCCTCCACATGCTCCGGTTTCCACCACAGTCTAAAGACATGCGTTATGGGTGAATTGAATAAACTAAATTGGCCGAAGTGTTTGTAAATGTTCATTTGTGTGATTTATTTATTGACATTTTTAAATTAAATTATGGGACCTTGGTCTCAGCTTAGGCAACTTTTGATGTTGAAGAGTTTAAATAAAAGTGACTTTTGTTGACATTTTATAGATTAAAACAATATTTTTTCTGGCGGCCCGGTGGCTCAGTGGGTCAGTGGTTATAAGCCTACATTTTGTATATAAATAACGAAGAAGCACATTTTTCTAATATATTCATTCATTCATTTTCTTTTCGGCTTAGTCTTTTTAATAATCTGGGGTCGCCACATCGAACTGAACCGCCAACTTATCCACCTATGTTTTTACGCAGCAGATGCTCTTCCAGCCGTAACCCATCAGTGGGAAACATCCACACACACTCACACACACTCATACACTTTGGTCAATTTTAGCATAAACAATTCACCTGTACCACATGCACCCGGAGGACTCCACATAGAAATGGCAACTGACCCAGCCAAGGCTTGAACCCGCGACCTTCTTGCTTTTAGGGGAATGTGCTACCCATTGCGCCACCGCATCGCCTTTCTAATTCATTTATTTTTAAAATAGTTTCTAAATAATCATATCATAATGAATATACTCAGAAGGTGGCACAGTGGCTCCTCACAGCAAGAAGGTCACTGGTTCGAGGTCCAGTTGGGTCAGTTGGCATTTCTGTGTGGAGTTTGCATGTTCTCCCCATGTTTCTGTGGGTTTCCTCTGCGTGCTCTGATTTTACCCACAGTCCAAAGACATGTGGTATACTTGAACTTAATAAACCAAAATCACCATAGCGTATGTGTGTATGGGTGTTTCCCAGGACTGAGTTGCAGCTGGAAGGGCTTCCGCTGTGTAAAACATATGCTAGTTAAGTTGGCAGTTCATTCCACCGTGGCGACCCCTGATGAATAAAAGAACTAAGCTGAATGAAAATTAATGAAGGATTATTTCATGCCAAGTAAATTATGAGCAACTGTTAATTAATATGCAGCACTTATTTTTATTGTCCTATGCAAAAATGACAAGGGATGTTGAATGTTATTCAAGTCCTGGAATGGTGTAAAACTTGACATGGTTGTCCTGAATGAAATCACTGTCTGGTCGTGCTTGGTGCTAAAAGGCAGACAAGAGAAAGAATCCATGTCAGTCAGCCGAGGCTTTCTGCTGCCATGCTGGTCATACATGTTTCATTGGGCTCTGGCGGACGACCTGCTGAAATTATTTGCTGCTTGCTCTGTGAGAGAAACCTGAGCTCCTACTGATGCTGGGCTTCCTCAGTGACCCCTGGCAGCCGTGAAAGCCCTCACCCGCTGCTAATTAGTTTTCTCCTTTCTCTGTGCTACTTCTTCTGTAGCCGTGGTGTCAGTTTGTGGTCCCGTGCACATGGAGAGGCTTTGTTTTCTTGTTGACTTGACATAAAATACTTTTTTTAAAGCGGTCATGTCCTGTGATGACACTGTGCACAATCTAATGGTGTGTTCACTCATGGCATCATGTTTGGTTTGATTTGAATAGTTTTTTGAATAAATGTGATCACCGCTAATCCTTGGTGTGAACCAAACAAGTGGTTCGAGATCAATAAAAACATGGATGTAGGTTATAGGATTGCCCCAATACTCAATATAATATTGAACCATTTGATATGACCTCCATGGTTTAATACACGTATAGATATTGCTTTTTTTGGTTTTGCATTTAAAATTAAAAATATATGTATTTGCATTTCCCTGTTCCCTTAATTTCTCTCTGAACTGGCTCTGTGCAAGTTAAAATGCATGTCCATGCGCTGAAACATGACTCCCCGTCGCCGTGAGTAAATGTCCCATCTGTGAGCACTAAAGTAGGGAGATGCTTTCACATGAAAATTAATTGCATTTCACAATCTTGGAAATGTTCATTCATTCATTTTCCTTCAGCTTAGTCCCTTTATTCATCAGGGGTTGCCACAGCGGAATGAACTGCCAGCATATGTTTACAGCGGATGCCCTTCCAGCTGCAATGTCTTTGGACTGTGGGGGGAAACAAGAGCACACGGTGGAAAACTCTGCACAGAAATGCCAACTGACCCAGCTAGGGCTCGAACAAGCTACCTTCTTGTTGTGAGGCGACAGTGCTAATGTAATATAAGCTGTAGCTCACACTCAAAAATGCTGCTTGTTTAAACTACGTATTTAAAATGAGCTGAATAAACACAATTCTTTAGTTTTTCAGGACAACTTAATTGTTTTATGTTCAATCCACTTGAATAGTGTGGAACACAGCATTTTTTACAGTCTGAGTAAACCTATTTTGGCTTGTTTAAACTTTAAATAAGCTGCAGACCAAGAGAGTCTTCCTTTCCTGGGAGGAGCTTATTCTGAATTTTTATTATCGTTTAATATTCACAAAGTTCAGATGCGGATGGATGATAAGGTTTTTGCACCTGTGAATCATCCAGGGGAGGGTGGGGGCACCTGTACTGTGCTACTGTAGTGTGTCCAAACACTCTCTTGATGGAGCTGAAGGAACAGATCCAGGAGGAAGACAAGGACATGCTGACCTGCAGAGGACAACAAAGACCACATGTTGCTAATTGGCTTGATAACCACCACTGATAGGAACAATTTACACATGCAAGGTGCACTAGGGTTTGGTTGGCCCTCATCTTTGGCTACATTACCTTCTGTATTCACTAACTACACTAACAGCTACGGGGCAGCGTGTCTTGGCAGATATGCTGAACTCGTTGTAGTTGGGTAAGTTATTTTTGCAGGGTTTTTTGAAGGAAAAATAACGGGAAGTGTTAACATTATGCTTGATTGGAAGTTTGAAAAAGTCTTTGTTACATCAGCAATGTTACTCGTATGCTTGCTAGAGCTTCAATGATTCTGTAAAAAGCCTCACAGGTTACTGTCATTTGAATTTAAATGTTGAAATATCCAGTAAAGCAACTTTTTTGTGGGTGGAGGGGTTATGGTTATGATCATAACCTATTTTATTCTCAGAGGTCTGGATGAATTATGAAACTATAATAATGGATTTAAACACACTCAAGTCTTTATGTTGTATTGAACAGTGTAAAATATGCACTGACAAGTTTTGAAGAATGAATCAAATAAACATTATGTATTCTTATGTAAATTTTAAATGTCTTTTTAAACTTAGTAATGTTTGTATAATGTATGCATGTTAGAAATTCAGTAATTCCATAGCAATCATCATTAATATTTTTAAATTTTTTTAAATATTTAGTAAAACTTTATTTTTGTGGGTTACAATTATTACTAACAACAATTTAATTCTCAAAGGTCTTCATATATTATGAAACTAAAGCTAGTGAATTCTAAGACACACAATAAAATCTTTCAATTACACAAAACAATGTATTACTTTTACCAAAATGAACTCGAACTTTTACCAATGTTTCGTTTCTCTATACCCTTTACCCATAACGTTTCTTGTTGTCATAGTGATAAATGTAACACTCCCAAATGATTTCATGTATTGTTCTTTGATGTTGTACTGTTTAAAATATTCATGACATAATTGTCAGATAGATTAGCAGCAGTTTGAGACAGAGTGAAAGCTTGGAGGCGACAGCATCATGTGACCTTGCACAGTACCTGATGGTGGATACGCTTTTCATAACAAAAGCCCTTTTCACTCTTCGACCTTGATTAGTTTCGGTCTCAATGGTCTTACCATGCACAAATATTATAAGGTTATAAAAGCTATGCATACACTGTAAAAAGCAATTAGTTGACTTATCTATTTTGAAAAGTGAGTAAACCTAATGCTTTTGATTAGTTGACTTTACTTAAAAATAGTGAAACCATTGTCTTAAACACTCAACAACACTGGTTTAAACTACTTATTTAAAATAAGTTAAAACAAAACAATTCTTAGGGCTGTTTTTGGGGACAACTTAATTGTTTTGTGTTCCACCCAATTAAATTTGTAAAAACAATTAAGTTTACTTAATCAATTTGTGTTGAGACAACATGAAGAAATTGCATGGAACCCGGCAATTTTAATTAAATAAACTATGTGCATAATTATAAAAATTAAGTCAACTCAACCAAGTTACCACAGGTTTACTCTCTTTTTTAAGCATTTTTAAGTGTTAATAATTGTAAATAAAATGAAATGGCAGAATGCATTTTAAATAGGTTTAAATAGAATTCTGGCCACACATAGAATGCTGTTTATTGTGTCTTTAATTCAGCAGGGTCTCTGAAGGCATCACTGCAGCATAAATGGAGCTTTTCATTAACTGGATGATCGATTTTCATTCTTATTCCCTTATCATGCATTAGGAAAAAGCTGCTCAATGAACCCGACAAAAGCATCAATTCAGTGCCTGCCCCGTTCACCAGGAGTGTCAGCAGGGTACTAAAAAGTGGCCTCAGGTAATGTGACTATTATATTTGTTTCAGAATATTCACACCTTATTGTGAGGTTTTAGGTCTGTAATGTACTCAAGCATTATTGACCTCTGAAAGTAGTAATATTTTTGCTTAATTTCTTTAGTGTCTCATCATGTGGTCAGTCATCTACTCCTGTGAGTCACCTCCCGTCCCGCTCAGGAAGTCCAGGCACTGGTCCTGGGCTCTCCACAGAGCACAGCTCCATCTGCTCATGGAGATATGATGTAATGCTTTTCTGCTGATTCCAGATGCTTTGTAGTTCAGCAAAGTTCAGCTCCTGTTTAGTTCATGAATTTGAATTAGAATGACAGGGTTTTAACTGAATTGAAAATACTGAAATATGAATTGGAGTTATGAGTGTATTAAATTTCAATTATCTGATACACTTTAAATATTTTGGAATAATATTTTATAACAATGATTCTATATTAAAGTTGAAGTCAGAGTTATTAACCCCCTTTTATTTTTTTCCCCAATTTCGGTTTAACAGAGTAAAGATTTTTTCAACACATTTCTAAACATAATAGTTTTATTGACTCATTTCTAATAACTGATTTATTTTATCTTTGCCATGATAACAGTAAATAATATTTTACTAGATATTTTTAAGACACTTCTATACAGCTTAAAGTCAAATTTAAAGGCTTAACTAGATGAGACTAGGTTAATTAGGTTAACTAGGCAGGATAGGGCAATTAGGCAAGTTATTATATAACAATGTTTTTTTTTTATGTAGACTATCGAAAAAAATATTGCTTAAAGGGACTAATAATTTTGACTTTATGGTGTTTAAAAAATTAAAAACTGCTTTTATTCCAGTAAAAAAAAAAACTTTCTCCAGAAGAAAAGATATTATCAGACATACTGTGTAAATTTCCTTGCTCTGTTAAACATGATTTGGGAAATATTTAAAACAGAAAAAAATTCAAAGGGGGTTTATTAATTTCGGATTTCAACTGTATATAAATTTAATCATATTATAATTATTAATTCATATTTTTTATTTGATAATTAGAATGTTGTAAAGATAAACAATGTGTTAAGCATTTATAATTAAAGGTTTGTTCAATATGTGTTAACTTTTAAAAAAAACTTTCAGAACGTATTACTTTTACCAAACAAGGATTAATAAAATTGATCAAAACAGTAAGGATGACAGTAAAGATGTGTAATCTTACAAAAGATAAATGCAGTTCTTTGTTTATCAGAAAAATCTGAAAAGAAAAAAAAAGATTTGGTTCAATTAAACTTGTTTTAAAGCCTGGACTCACTCGGGAAGGCAAAATAGTTCGCAGGATTTATCAAAACACGTAGATTTATTTACAAACACTCACTTAACCGGACATCGATAATACAGAAGACACAGGAACGACAAGTCACAACTGAGAACACACATGGGGAGGGTCACGTGAAAACAAACGGAACACAGGATGGAAAAGAGAAGGTGGCCAGGGAGGAGTCACATGAGGGAGGAGTGCAGGAAGGGAGGTGTAGCAGGAGGTGTAGGACCCAGGACACAGCCTGGGGATGGTCCAGGGTGGAGTCAACGGAGGTTAGAGCCATGGAGGAGGAGTGATTGCCGACTCCAACGGGCCAACCGTGGGAGAAGCTGCAGCTAGGGGTGGAGCCCAAGAAGGGGTAGGAGAGCCGTAGGGCAAAGGTAATGTCGAGGTCCTGGAGGAGGAGGAGATGACGTTGGGGGACAGCCTCTGGTTGTCGAAGTAGATAGGCAGACCCTCGGTGTGACCTCCACGCTTGAAGCTGTAGGATGAGCTGAGGGACTTTCTGACTGTTGTAGCGCTGGAGTAGGCTAAATGGCTGTGGGTGATGACATCAGCGGAGGTGAAGAGGGTGGGATGCTGCTCATGACCCTGGAGCTATCATCTTCGGTGATCAACTTGGCTAAAAGTCTGTCTGGGAACAGCTTCTTGGAACTCAGAATCAAACATTTGCTGTCTGGTAACAGCGGAAGGGATATGAATTCTCTCCAGTAGTTGATGAGCAGTAGGGTTTGGTCCAGTGACAGCTCACCCTCTGCTGTGGGTTGGTGGGCGGACTCTTGCTCGACCCCTCGATGTCCACCAGGACTCTTACTTTCAACGTTGTTGCCGGCTCACACACCTAGTCAGATGATTGGTTGAGCTCCTCTTCCTCAATGATGTTCCTGTCGCTCTCGATGGCTCACATACCACGGGTGCTCTCCATCTGCGGTGGGCTCTGGCGCAAGCTCCCTGCAGATGGTAGTTGGGCTGGTCTGTATGGTCCTAGTGGCTGCTTTCCCTCTGCTTCATCATGAGGATCAGGAATTCTGGGGTGTAGATAGAATCCACGGATAAGCAAGGGAAAGGAAAAGAAAACACTTGGGGTAAAAAAAAAAAGATTATAAAAATCTGTTCTTTTTTCCCAAAAATTCTGTTTTTTGGGTCCGGCATTATGTAACGCCTTGACTCACTCAGGAAGACAAAAAGGATTTACCAAAACACGTAGATTTATTTCCAAACACTCACTTGAAAGGACATTGATAATACAGGAGACAAGAGAATGACAAGACACAACTGAGAATACCGGACAAGAACCTAACTGAACACAGAGACTTAAATACACAGGAGATGATTAAACTGAGACACAGGTGAAAATAATCAACATTAACAAATGGCGGGAACTAGAACAAAGGAGCACATATGGAAGGTCACATGTTGAAAACAAACGGAACACAGTATTTGATGCTTGTAATTGCTTTAGACATTTTTAATCATCATAAATGATTCTTAAACTATAAACCAGTATACTGTACGATCATGTTACACTGAAGGCTGGAGCAAATAATGATATTAAAATGTAAAATAACAGTGTTAATTTCATTTTAATTTGACTTAAATTTAAATTTTAATTGCAATATCAAATTCTATTTGCTCCATCAGTTTTGAAAATATCTTGGAAATGAACTAGAATGCAAAATGAATTTGCTGAGTAGAACACAACATGCTATGTATTATACTTATAATGCACCACATAAACACATGAGAGACATCATCTATAACAGAAATTTTATCTCTTTATCATTCCTTTTTAAAACTCCCATTTGTTCTGTTTTCAGTGTCTTTGTCTAACTGTTGTGTTCCAGCTGTGAAAGTTAAACTGTAGTGTCGGGTTTGGTTGGTGTGCAGGAGTTTGAACGGGCGAATACACAGCATGTGCGGCAGCTCTTTAACTCTGTGGATGAGCTTCTGTATGAGGGGAGAGTCAGCAGCCGCTCAGAGTCTCTGCAGGAGGAGTGTGAGGAGTGGAATGGACACACTCCACATCTCAGGTATACAGCTCTTTTAAGTGATGGATGGTTTGTGAATGGAGAAACCTGACTGCTCTCTAACTTTTGAAAAAGGGTTAGTTAAATTTTCAATTTGAAACATCACTAAATTAAACCAAGCTTTTTTTTTTTCTAGAAAAAAGTTACATTCAGCAAATTACCCTGACAAAGTATCATGATTTCTTAAAAATATATTTTTTGTTTTGTTTTTACATTAGGAAGGTGGCTACAGTGACTTATTTTTATTGTCTTACAAAATAATTATTCAGATGATTCTGTCAAAAACACTTATTCATTCTGGAATGATGCTGGTGATATTCTAAAATAAATACATTTCAGATATGGACAAATGTACAGGGTTGTATAGCCATGGGTTTGGGTAAAATAATATTTGTTTTTCTAAGAAGGTCTGAAAATGTTTCTTTTAAATTTGAGATAAAAATATTATCAGTTAGAGCAGTGTTTCTCAAACAAATTCCTGGACAACCACCAGCTCTGAACCTTTTTCATGTCTCCTTAACCAAACATGCCTGATTCCGACCATCAGCTTATAAGCAGAGTCTGACAAACCTGTAATGGTGTGACAGACAATGGAGACATCCAAAACATTCATTGTTGGTGGTCCTCCAGCAAGGTGGTTGAAAAAACACTAGTTTAGAACATTTATTTCACAAATATTGTCAAAATAAAAAAAAAAATTTTATTTGTTGTAAATAAAATTCAGGTAAAATTCCAGAAAATACTGTTTTATTTTAGCTCTTCTAAAATTAAAACATCAATATTGTGTAATCAATATTAATATATACATTTGCAATGTTCCCCATTTTTCCCCATTGACTACAGAATTTTAGGGAATCAGTTGGAGGCTCCCAAACAAGAGGGTTTTCAGTACATCTGTAGACGAGAGTCCAGTGCCAGAACCTCCTCCTTTACCACATCCACCTGCCTGGACAAGAGAGAAGACCATAGCAAGTAAGCCCTTTAATAATATACTAGTTTAAAAAGAAGCTTAAAAAGAAAACAAACAAAAAACAACACAAAAGGTTAGATTTACTGTTTACTCAGACTTAACCAGATTAGCTTCTGAATTGCATTGGTTTTAAGGATTTGAGTTGTCAACAAAGAAATTGTTATGGTTTAAACCACAGATGTTAAACTCAATTCCTGGAGGGCCACAGCTCTGCACAGTTTACTTTTAATCCTAATTAAACACACCTGATCAAACTAATTGAGTCTTTCAAGCTTGTTTTAAACCTAAGTTTGTTGAAGCAGGGTTGGAAGTAAACTAAACTGCAGGGTTGCGGCCCTCCAGGAGTTTGACACCCCTGGTTTAAACAGTTAGAATTAGGGGTGTAACGATTTATCGTTGTACGATTTATTTCGATGCAAAAATGTCACAATATGCATCGTGGCATTATGACGATTTGATTACGATATGACGTCCGTTTTCTCTTATTGAGCTGTTTGCACGTGAGCTACGTTACACCTGCTGTCGCACGTGAGTTCAGATTGCAGCAGCAGTAATGTTAGCAAACCAAGATGAGTGGAGCTGAAATAAAGAATGGCCCATCCTATCAAAATCAGACGTCTGGCAACATTTCGGTTGTACAGTCATTGCTTTAGACTCGTCCGCTTTTTGACACGCATGGGTCAAACATCCTGAGTTTTAAAGTCTTCACAGTGATTTACATACTTTGCACAGCGACAGGGATACCTTCTAATGGTGTTGAAAGAGTCATATACTGTATTTATAAGGTACAATTCACCCTAAAATATCATTCTGTCTTCATATAATGTTCCCGCCGCAAAATCACACGACGTGAGCTTACCGTGAGCTGTTTCTACAGAGGGCGGACTTTGATAGACGCGCGCGTATGGCAAGCCGTTTTAGATTTTAAACCTTTTTTCTGACTATCCATAAATATATTTTGAGATATCTTTAAATATATTTTGACTAGTCATTATTATAATTCGACTAGTCAGAATGACAATTAGAGATATCTGCAATTACAATTGTACTAGTACGAAATCAGATTGGAGATATCTGCAAATATATTATGACTAGTCATATTCCTCCATTGACTTCCATTGAAAAATATTAGCAGATATCTCTAAATGAGTTTTGACTAGTCAGAATTGTAATTAGAGATATCTCTAAATGAATTCATTTAAATATGAATTAAATACCTGGAAATGTGTTTTTTTTTTGCACACACAAAAAACGCAAGTGACCAAGCAAAGCCTTAAGCTCTTACTGTTAAATTCAATTGAAAAGAAAGCTTATTTTTTTTGCACCTTTACTTAAATTATTCCTTAATTTTTTCTTTCATTTCAATAATATTTTTAAGAAGTTTTTCAATTGTTTTATTTTCCAGATAGAGGCCTGTTTAATTTATTTTCTTAAAGAAGGTTCAGTTTAACAAGTTGAAATGAAAGAAATACATAAAAAAAGATTACTTGGTAAAATATGCATTTCAGTTTAATTTTAAATTTTTATTCCAAATATCGTGATACATCGTATCGTGAGCTGAGTGTATCGTTACACCCCTAGTTAGAATAGATTTCTCATAGAATATATTTGCGTCCATGTAATACTTTGACAGCTATTTTGAAGTTGTACTTGACTGTTAATAGGTGGTTAACAAGGCTGACTGCCCGCTTCAGTCTCCTCTCATTGCATTGAGCAGTCATGGAGGTTAGTCTGTCTCCCTGTAAAACTAGTTAAGTAAGAACAGAAACAAACAGCATTTTTTCAAACACTTGCATATTTTTTTAAGCCATATGTCACATACATTTAGTAAATTAAACACATGGACATTAATGATGGATGATGGGAAAAGTCTGATGGCCTTCCTTCATTTTGACAGATTACATTGAGAATCTTTCACACTGTTGTTTTGCAATTGATTTTTAGTAATGGGCTTATACTAATACAATTTTTTGTATAAAAAAAAACCCCATAAGATAAATATTGTTAAAGTCTTAGACTATGTGGCTCAGACTATGTGAGTTTTTAATAATGCTATAAAATTGTATCTCTTCAGACTATGCAAACATGATCCCCATGTCACACTGTATGAACTCAGTTGTCATAATATCAGATTGAATTTCATTCAAAATGCATCAAAACACAAATACATACACTCGGTACTCATCTGTAGACAGAATTCATCAATCTGTGACACGTTTATTAACCAGCGTTCTGAAATCATACCTCACAGGAAATATTAACAATCTGCAGAGTTAATTTTACTCGTAACAAGCCTTGATCATAAAACCAGAAAAAAAGCTGTTTCTACATTTCCTCAAGGCGCGCTGATTGCATCATCAGGTTCAGTGCTTCTATTGGTTCTTGTTTTAACATTTGCCTCAGTCACACTGAAGAAAAATGTCTGAACTCTTCTGACAATTCTAAAACTTCATCGTGGTGGAATTTTTATCACAACTGACATTAATTTGACTGTCAGCGAACATTTCAAACTAATGATTCAAGACCACTGATTTTAATAATCTGAAAATTTTTAATTAATAAATTTGTCTCAGAAGACCAAATCTTGGACAAAGTTGTGGAGTGTGAGGCTTGCTGGGATGACAAGTTAGCAACAAAACATGAATATATCGTATAAAATCTGGCATGATATCAGGTTTTTTTCTTTGAGCAACTTAAAGTCAGTTCCCCCAATAAATGTTTTTTAAAACCCTTTTTCTACCTTTATGAGATTCTTTCTTCTGTTAAACCCAAAAGAAGATATTTTGAAGAATGCTGGTTGCTGGCACTTATCGATGTACTGTGGAACTCAGTAGGTGCCATCAACAGTATAAGCGTTTTTCAAAATAACTGTGTAAATGTAAATGGATTGGATTTTTTGAAAACGATCCCTTCATTACTTTTAGTCATACAAATAAGAGTTAAACATCATTTGTTACTGTATATAGTTTACATATTTGTGTATACCTACAATAACAAAATATTGCTCACAATATGCACTTTCTGCCATCTCAGTTTTCTTGAAGTCGTGCAGTGTCTTTACCTCGATTACTATCCACATCCATTAATACTTAATTAGCAAGATGCTGGTTTGTTTTATCCAGCAGTGAAGCGTAACGTAGATTGTGTATCATCTGGCCATGCCGAGCTGGGAAGTTCTGATGTTCTGTTCAGTTTGTATTTCATACAGAGGGCTCACTCTTATCAGAAATAATCACAGAATATGGCAGAGCTGTTGTTTAAAGTAAAACACTCTCTGGAATAAATAATTGACTGAAAACAGTTTGCGAGCAATGTTGTATGTAATTAGTTACAAAGTAACTAATTACACCCAACACTAATTACTGTAATTAAATTATTTACACATTGAAAAGTGTAAGGGATTACTTTTCATTGTAAGTAATTCAGTTATGGTTACTTGTAAAGTACTCGCCTTAAATACTGTAAATAAATTCAACAATTCTGTATAAAACTATTCAGAGAAGCAGTGTAATTGTATTTTTATATTTAGAAGATTTCTGATTTTCAACTATAGAAGATTATATTTGTTAGGATAATTAAACATGCTACTGCCAAGAAACAATGAAGTGAATAAAAAATTTTAATGGCAATATATGCTATGCGTGAAATATGTTGTTATTGGTTTGAAACGTTTCCTGTTTTGATGCATATGAAGTTTACCTTTTCTTATTACTTTTCCCTGTTTAATTTTTAATTTAAACAATTCAACTTTTAATTTAAATTGCCAATGAACTGACATTTAAAGGGGTTTGAAGTAGTATTGAGTCAAGTAATTGAGTAATTAAATTACTTTACAAACAAAGCAGTTAGGAAAATAATTTAAACCTATTTTACCACTTTGACTAGATGTAAGATAAGCCTTCGTTGTCTCCAAAAATGTGTCGGTTAAAGTTTTAGCTCAAACTGCCCATCATATAAATTTATCATACTCTTCAGAATCTGCCCATTTTGTTGTCTTTAGGTGTTTTAGTAGCATGTGGCTCTAAATCCAAATGAGCTGCTTCTCCCCGCCCACTAGTCACATGTGCATGTCTGCTTCATGGCAACTGCCTATCAATTCGGTGAGCAGGGAAAACCACAATCCTATTTCACGTTGCGCTGGGCCTCAAAATCACTGGGATTTGGGTCGTACTGTATTTTAACATCAGGAAATTTAAAAAAAAGAGAGACTTGGGTTTATATCACTCCAGCATGACAGTGGGCACACTATATTGTACTTACAAACAGTTCTGTCCAAACAGCTTACAAATGATTTTCGTCATATAGGTGCCCCTCAAATAAAATTTGTATTATGCAGTTTAATTACTTATAAGTTACTAATTTTTTTTATGGTTTTCTTTACATTAGTGCTGTTTTGGGCGTACTGTTTAAACGGATTAAATTTATTGATGTAAAAACTTTCCAAAGTTTACTGACATTAAAGCAACATTATGCTTATACTTTATGGGGAAAAAATGCTTAAATTGTGTTTCTGACACAATGTTTCGTTTTTGTTTTTTGTTGTAATGATGATTACCAATGCACAAATGTCTGTTAAAGGGTTAAGGAGATTAAATAAAAAAAATAAAAAAAATCAATCTAGGGTTATAAGCCACACAGGTTTTTTGAAAATTCAATCATGACCACAAAAATGCACTTTAAACAGCATTTGACTGCAGTTTCTTGTTAAAATGAATGCTAAGGGGCAGCATAGCCCTACAACTTTTATTCATTTTTTTAACAAATTATATTTACTCAGACATATTATCAATGAACAAATAATTATTTCCATGCATTTCTTTGCACAACACCAAACAAAGACCACAGAACACTTTAATAATGACAACTTTTCTGGTGTCGTCAGTTTGCTCAGTATCTTACTTTATACATTGCTTTACTTATGATGTAGAGCAATTGAGTTTAGTCCTGTATTTTACCATTTCTCACAAAACCATGATCACAGTGTACTTTAATCTTATGTTTGCACTATTCGTTGAGTTTAGGGAAACTAACATTTTGGTCTAGGTCATCTGACAAGCCCTGTACAACAAAACATACCCTGAGTAACATATTTCCAGTTTGCAAAAATTGAGACAGTGCCCTCTAGTGGAATTGTCATCTCAAAAATGTGGCAGCAGCAGCAACATATTTCAGGTTCTTAAAAACGTAGGCCGAGGCACATACTTTTAATGAGCCCTGGGTTGACTACATGAGTTTGCACCTTTGTTGATACTCACCTTCTATCTTATAATAACCCAGATGTGACACAGTAAAATATGTTGTTGATGCAATTTGGTGTGCTTCTGTAATTTTTTGTTCTTTAATGAGTTAAATGGCGCTAGATTGTTTCAACTGATTGTATTGTTGAAAGATTGCTTAAAAATAGGAAGAAATTTTGATGAATGAATGAAGGCAGAGAAGAAAATGAGACACATTGACACCCTAAAGACATTCCATGTGACCAGAAGTGAGGTAAAGTCATTTTGAGGAGGCAAGGTTATGATATTTGATAAAAGGGCAAATTAATTTGTACGAAATGATGAACGGCACAGACACATCATTTATAACATGCACTATTATTTAAATATAAAAATAAGAAGATAATTTCATGGCGACTTTAATAATCTTATACACTAACAAGTTAAAACTGACAGCCTTGTTAGCAAGTGATGCCAGGACAATTTAAACCAATGTTGATGATAATTGTTTGGCATTTTATATAATTCATCACAGTGTTTTCTTTATCACTGAACTTTTTAAGGTCGGTCTTATCTAACAACAACTACGAAAAAATGTTTGTGGGCTCTTTATCTTGATTAATGGGTTCACTCTATTGATTGGTTTCTGGGCTTAGCTTGACTGCACTTATCTATTGTTTTGAAGTATGCACTGAAGCCTATCATACATTATACATCTGATATACCACATAAAATCAACCCTAAGGGATGAGGCCTCTCACCTGATTAAAAATATGCAATATGTTATGAAGACACTGCACTGAACGTGTCCGCAGGCGATGCATTTATCAGTCTGGTCTGGCCATAGTAAGACTTTGCGTCCTTCCTCATTTCTCTCTTTCTTTCTGCCTGCAGGCTGTATGTCGCAGGTCGAAGTTTGGCTTTGGGCCTTTGGTGTGAGCCGTCGGTCCGGAGCTCCAGCTCTCCGCCATCTGAGCATTTACTCTCTTTTACTGAGGAAGAGGAGGTGTATGAAGCAGAGGGCAGCATTGAGGAGTTTCTGGCTTATGATCGAAAAGAAATGTACATCATTTGTTGCCTTTTTCTTCATCTCTTTTCTATATATATGCAAAAGGTTTGCTTGTATACTAGATTTTTTTAGACACTGTTACAAGTATGTTTAAATTTGTCCAGTGTTAAGTTCACAATGGAACCTGCTTTTAGAAGCATTGCATTTGGTAAAAAGTAAAATAACAAGAAAATTATAAAATATAATTGATATGGAGGTTTTTTTTATTAGATTTTCTTTTAATTAGGAGGTGTTTGAACTGTGCTGAAAGAAAAAAGAAAAGTTAAAAATAAAATTAAGAACAAAGAAGCATTCAAAACTTTTAAAAAGTTTACTTTGATTAAAAGAATTTATTCGATTTAGCGAAGACATGTTAAACTGAAAAAGTATCTGACAAATGTTTATAACTAGAAATAATAATATTTTTAAATACTTTTACCACAGTTATTCAGTTTAATATAAATTAATTTCTTGTTCTTTACCTTTACAACATACACTTACTGGGACTTTTATTAAGTACACCTGTCCAACTGCTCGTTAATGCAAATATCTTATCAGCCAATCACATGACATCAACTCAATGCAAGCCGATCTGCTGCAGTTCAAACTGAGCATCAGAATTGGGAAGAAAGGTGATTTAAGTGACTTTAAACATGGCATGGTTGTTGGTGTCAGACTAGCTGATCTGAGTATTTCAGAAATTGCTGATCTACTGGGATTTTTTCACACAACCGACTCTAGAATGATCCGAAAAAGATAATTTTTCCAGTTTTTTTTTTTTATTCAGCCAGTTATATTTCCAAGGTCAGAAGAGAAGAGTAAAGGCGGACGCACAAGCCTTCACAGCAACATAGACACGTTCAAATGGGATTAAAAGTGTCACAATGTATTTATAAGGGATATTTCTCCCACAAATGTAATTTCAGTCTTCATGCAATGATGCATTTGCGGCTGCGAAATCACATGAGGTGAACGTGAGCTGTTTGACTACCGAGAACGTGTGCGTGCACATCATTCACGACTACTTTAGTGAACAGAACCTGTATAGGCTGTGAATAACAAGTAATCAAGTTGAAAATAACATTCAGTTTGTTGCACGGAGCATTCGTTTGCGAGCCATGCTGAAAGAATGATTTGCATGTGTGTTTTTTTTCTCAGAATGACGGCAGCCATGAGCCGCACTAGGAAGTGAAAGAGAATCTGGTGTTACACAAAATTCTGTGATGATCGTATTCTGTGACCCTAGTGGGCACTGTTCTGTACTGTTTGGCTGGAACTCGCTTCCACAGGCACCGGCGCGCACATCATTTAAATGATCATAATGCATTTTGCAGTTACGACAAATGCATTACGACAAGCATTTGATATGTTTTTTTTTTTCATAGCTAACACAAAGTGTTGTGCATGAAAATAAATGTTTACTGTGTCAGTAAATCTAGCCTATATAATGTTGAATATAATGCAAGAAGGAATCACAAAATCTTATTTTACTAGTGAAAACTAATAGTCTAATAATGCTGTCAATGACAGATGACAAGCATGTCGCAAATATCTAATAATTCAACATCAGAATTTTGAATAGTTGTGACATAATCTGATGTCATAATTTAACTGTAAATTAACAAACAGGATGTATTGAAAGTCTGTTCAAGTCCACCATAATGACTATACAAAACTTTTAACATTTTAACCAACAGTAGACCTACACATAGGCCTATTATTATTATTATTATTATTATTATCATTTTACCATATGCTTGAGGATTAACAATAATAATAGCCTACCAATATTAACCTTTATTTTACATCTACAGAATCGTGAGAAAATCGTGATCTTGATTTTAAGCCAAAAAAAATGTCATTCACATTTTAGCCAGAATCGTGCAGCTCTAGCAGAAGAGCATCCCTGATGGGCTACAACAGCAGAAGACCACACAGGTGCCACTCTTTTCAGCTAAGAACAGGAAACTAAGGCTACAAATCGCACAAGCTCACCAAAATTGGACAATAGAAAATTGGAAAAACGTTGCCTGGTCTGATAGATCTCAATTTATGCTGCGATATTGGGATGGTAGGGTAAGAATTTTGCGTCAACAACTTGAAAGCATAGACCCATCCTGACTTGTATCAACGGTTCAGGCTGGTGGTGGTTGTGGTGAAATGGTGGGGGATATTTTCTTGGCACAATTTGGGCCCATTAGTACCATCTGAGCATCATGTCACTGCCACAGCCTGAGTATTGTTGCTGACTATGTCCATCCCTGTATGACCACAGTGTACACATCTTCTGGGTACTTCCAGCAGGATAACGCACCTTGTCATAAAGCGCAAATCATCTCAGACTGGTTTCTTGACAATGAGTTCACTGTACTCAAATGGCCTCCACAATCACCAGATCTCAGTCTATTAGAGCACCTTTGGGATGTGGTGGAACAGAAGATACACATCATCGATGTGCAGCCGACAAATCTGCAGCAACTGTGTGATACTATCATGTCAATATGGACCAAAATTTCTAAGGAATATTTCCAGTACCTTGTTGAATGCCATAAAGAATTGAGGCAAAAGAGGGTCCAACCTGGTACTAGTGAGGTGTACCTAATAAAGTGACCGGATCTCTAATATGGCACATTTAAAATCTTATAATGTTTATATTAAGGAGGGTCTGAAATAATTGCACATAAAATAATTGCATGTAAAAATATCAAACTATGAATTTTGGCCAATATATTATAAAATATATCCTTAAAAACACTTCATGAGATTTAAAACAAATATGACAACTTGCACACACAAAAAATTTATTAAATATGACCATGAACTGTTAATAGTGTGCAGTTGTTTTATGGCATCAGAATGGAAAACTAAGTGCTAATTCTTACGTAATTCTATCGATTGTAGGGAAGAAGAGGAGGGGGATCAGAGGAAGTCCTCATCCGTGGCCCTGAGAAGTGGAGTTCCTCCAGTGTCTCCTCATGCCTGCATTCGTGACGCAGTGGCAGACGAGCTGTTTGATGACGTGTGGAGGGTAGTGCTGGGTCTGCTGGAAGAGCTCGTACACAAGTACTGGGAAAAACAACTGCCCGGTATGTGTCCCTGTTATTTAGACCAGCACAATTAGCTGACAGTATATGTGTGTGATTGATAGATAATAGGTTATTCAAGAACACAAAGTGCTATGTGGATTTCAGTCGAGACATGTATACTTCCATTTAAAAGTCTAGAGTATATATATATATATATATATATATATATATATATATATATATATATATATATATATATATATATATATATATATATATATGTTTGTCTCTTGGTATTAAAGTAAAACACCATTAAAATATGTTTTATTAAACATATTTACATACATTTATTTACTGGCATCGGTACTGCTTGGTAACTACTCAGAAATATATTTTATTACTTTTTAAGGGGTCTAACCAATTAAAATTTGCATAATACCACTGTTGTTGTTTTTTATTGACATTTTCATTTATTATTTTTGATTTTTAAAGTCTCAAATACCATACCAGGCACCTAATTATAATTCTAATTTATTTGGCCCAAATAAAGCAGACAAAGATGATATGTGGCAACACAATAGTTTTTAAGTATAATGGAAGCCTTTTAATAAGAATGTTTGACATTTTGCTTAAATAGCACTGGAATGAATTATTGGACATTTTATTCATTTCAATACACATGAGGTTTTGTCCTGCAGGCTCAAGAAAAAGTATTTTTTGTTCCTAAAATTGATGAATGCATTAACACAGCCATAATGATTACAAAAGCTAAAAAGCCTTCATTTAATTATTTAAAGTATATGTTTGGAGACTGGATCTAATCTAATATAATAAATATAATATGCCATCATAATTTAACCCAAGCTAGAATATTTGTGCTTTTTCAACCTTTTATTATTGGCATTTAAGTACTGTGGATTTGTGCATTTTTTTCTCAATCAAGATTTGGCAACACTAATGGGTAAAAGCATTTTTCCATTTGTACCACTTTTCTAGTGATAAATGCATGTTTTTATTTTTTTGTATTGTCCATACATGTGCATCAAACTTTTGAAAATGTTGTTGTCACTATACATTTTTAGGAGTTAATTTGGTTGTAGAATGCTATTATTATTCCCATAAATTGCCCAAAATGTGTGTACATTATGTACAGTTCAGGTCAGAATTATTAGACCTCCTTTTAAATTTGAATTCTTTTCTATTTTTTCCCCAATTTCTGTTTAACGGAGAGATAATTTTTTCATCACATTTGTAAACATAATAGTTTTAATAACTCATTTCTAATAACTGATTTATTTTATCTTTTCCATGATAACAGTACATAATATTTTAAGGTGCAAGCATTCAGCTTAAAGTGATATTTTAAGGTTTAACTGGGTTAATAGGTTAACTAGGCCAGTTATGGTTACTAGGCAACAGTAAATTGTTCTGTAGCCAATCAGAAAGTTAATCAAAAATATATATATTGCTTTCCCTATAATATTGACCTTAAAATGTTTTTAAAAAATTAAAAACTGCTTTTACAAGCTAGAGCCAGATCTACAGGGGGCACTGTTTGGGGTTACTTCGGAGGAAAAACAGTTGACTTCTTCAAAGTGTAAAATCATTGCTTTTTCGACTTTATTGGGACGTAGGGCTTTTTTGCTAAAATGGAAGAATTCTCATCCTTCCACTCATGTGCAGTGGATTAGAGAAACTATTTCTTGTCTTTATTTGGAAAAAATCTAGTTTTCATTAAGAGGGTAGGTGGGGAAATTTTTTAAGGTGTGGCAACCTTTTATGGATTATATGGAAAATAATTAGATTTTGCTGTACATATGGTATGTATGATTAAGTGTTTGGATTGGACTTTTTTTAAACATTATATATATATATATATATATATATATATATATATATATATATATATATATATATATATAGGTTCAAATACAAAATCAAAGAAACAATAATAATAATAATAATAATAACAATAAAAAATAACACACACACAAACACACACACATATATATATATATATATATATATATATATATATATATATATATATATATATATATATATATATATATATATACATGTGTGTGTGTGTGTGTGTGTGTGTGTGTGTGTGTGTGTGTGTTATGTTTTTATTGTTATTATTATTATTATTATTGTTTCTTTGATTTTGTATTTGAACCTACATGTACAATTGTATATTTGTTAATTTTAGGCTAATGTGCGTGCTATCCCGCTGTTGAAAACTTGGATAAGGGGTTTGCATTGCTGTTCTTTTTCATTTGAAAAACTGAAAAACACTACAAATATCTAAACCAAATACTGCTTTTATTCTCACTAAATTAAAACAAATAAGACTTGGTTGGGATAATTTACAGTTTAGACCCAAAGAGTGAGTAGTCTGTCAGATGAAGAAGAGCCGGAGTCAGTTTACTGAAGATAGTTTGCAGTTTCATCAGCAGAAGCCAGCTTCAAAACTCGCAATGAGTTCCTAGGCCGCTCTGCTTACAATCATAAATCAGCATCAATTATACGCTCACATAATGTCATTAACTGTGTCATACATAGGTATTTTAACATGATTGGTTTTATCCTTATTAAAGTCTGTCTTGAATAAAAAGGAAAATCACTTTAAACATAATAGAAATAACATAATAATAATAATAATAATATCAAAATCACTTTAGACAGTATTAACACATAACAATACAAATAGGAAAACAGTTGTTTTCAATCATCAAGACCTTCAGTTCCACTCGAGGTCTCCATGATCTCTGATCTGGTTTGGTGGCTCCTGAAAATAGAGTTACAAAGATACATATGCATTGAGCATTCTTATATTAAGCAATGTGTTAACTTTAATTATTAGTCAAAATCATTTCAAGATTAAATACTGGTTCAAATAATCATATTAATGAAGCCATTAGAAAAAGCATAATCAGAAGAGGATAAACGTTGATACTTGTTGAGACGGATTGGAAGACAGAAATCCAAATCCATAAATTTTCTCTAGAAGAATAAATATAGTAAATACTGTGAAAAAATCTTTGCCCTGTTAAACATCATTTGGGAAATAATTGAAAAATAAAATCACTAGAGGGCTAATAATTTTGACTTCAACTGTATGTATTTGTCTACAGAACAGGAATATGAACAATAAGGTGTACTGACAACCAAATCTAATCAACCATAACTAATAAAGATAAAAGATAAAAACACAAACTAAAGCTTGAATGAACTGTATTTGACCCTTTGTCAGTTTGTAGTGCTGTGTGGTATTTTGGAGTAATACAATAAAATTCACTTGCTAATTTGCCAGCGGTTAAGTGCAGTGCTGATTTCCCTCAATCCCTGATGTTCTTTTGGCATCAGATGGAGCAACACAGAGGAGAGAGTTAGAAAGCTCCAGTCAAGCACCTTCATCTCAGCTGCCTGTTAAAGCACATCAGCTACTGTTGTCCAGAGGATCCAGCAGCAGAACCACATTCCTGTCAACATGCAGCAATAATGTACAGGTAACAACCAGAGTTAGGTGCAAAGATAAGATCCTATCTGCTGCTTTATTGCCATGTAATGAATTTCCCGTTTCTTCTTTCAGGACTCAAGTGCCTACAAGATTAATTTAAATGGTGTTATGACAATCCAAGCAAAGCCACTGCAGCAGAGACATCAGGGATTTGGTGAAAGAGCCCTGTAAGCCTTTTGGTGTGATCTAACTCTATAAAAACAAAGCAAAAAAAAAAAAAAAGAAGCTATTTATTTTCTTTAAAGACTGTTTAATAATGAATGGATTTAAGAAGTGTTTTCAAGGGGTAGTTCACCCAAACTGAAATCCTGTCTTTATTTACTAACCCTCCGCTTGTTCCAAACCTGTTTGAGTTTTTATTTCCTTTCCTTCCTTTGAAAACTGGTAGTCAACAGCCCCTTTCACACAGTGATGCCATAATATATCCAGAAAATTTACGGAACAACTTTACTGGTAAATTCAATAAAGCACTGTTCACACAGGCAACAACGTTCTGGAATTTTTCAGAAAAAGACCATTCACACGTACATTATAAAATAATAGCAAGTTCTGACATCATTAACTAGAAAAGAGCTCTAAACGACTGTGCTTGTATTTGTAAACAAAGAAGGGGTCTGGCTTTTGTTGATGGTTTCACTTTTATTTAAATCTTTAGCATTTATGCATCTGCTTTGTCCTAGAGACATCCAAATGAAGAAGTGTAAACCACAGCTAAATGGTTACACATTTGACAACATTATAAATTCTGTGGATGGATAAGTATTGTGAGCAAATTGTGAGTTTATCATAGAAATTTTACCAATAATTTTTTTGGAACACACTTTGGAATTTAAAAGAAACACATAAACGGTATCTGACTAACAACTAGCAGCTAAATGTGCCTGGAAAAACATTTAAAGGCTTTTATTTTCACGGCTGTGAATGCGTCTGAATGTTCTGATTGGCTGGAGTAGATGTTACACAGCAGCACATTCTAAACGTGAACGTGCTCTTTCCGGCATTCGCGTTCACACAGAGAAGCATTCCGGCAAACTACTGGTAATGTTACAATTTCTCTTTTTGGAAAATTGCCAGAACAAATTTACCTGTATTTTCAAAACGGGGCTGTTCACGCATGATCCCTTTCTGGAAAATTGCCAGTAATTTTGAATGAAAGGTACTTGACTTCCAATATTCTTCAAAATGTTGTCATTTGTGTTAAAAAAAGACACCTATAATGGTTTGAAACTACTTTAATAAATTAAATTGGAAGATGTGATTATTTTGGGCGTAACATTTTTTTTTTTTTTGACTTTTTACTCCCTTTACAGCAGAGGTGCTCAAATTCAGTCCTGGAAGTCCGGTGTCCTGCAGATTTATGAAGCTTAGAAGTTGGAGCTAAAATCTGTACACCAGATCTACAGGACAGAGTTTGAGAACTCCTGCTTTACACTGTATGTACGGTTAAAATGACCTTTTGGTAATTAAATGTATAATGGGTTTTGCATGACCACCATGACAATAATGATATATATATATAATATATATATATATATATATATATATATATATATATATATATATATATATGTATATGTATATGTATGTATGTATGTATGTATGTATGTATGTATATATATATATATATATTTATATATATACAGACATACATACATAAATATATATATATATATATATAAATAACATGATCTCTCTTGGTTTTCCAAAGGTATGAACCAGAAGATGGGGCAAGTGTGTTGATGTGTATGAAGACCCAGGCTCTCAGAGCGTCTGGTTTACTTATGCAGAAACCCGCAGTCCAGCGCAAACTCCCCAGACTCAGCGGCAGGGTTCGCATGTATCATAACATCACTGGAAACGGGAGTCAACTCCTACGAGGAACTAGACTGTGAGTTGCAGTTCAGCATGCATTATAAACATTTTCCCAATTTTGTAATACGAATAAATCTGCAATAATCAAAAAAGAAACATTTAAGATTAAAAGTTTTGGGATTTAATGTCTGGAAGCAAAGATAAAGAAAAAATAAAGCAACCATAAATATTATTTATTTATTTATTTTTTCCGATAAAAGGTGTTTTTATATTGATAATAATAATAATAATAATAATAATAATAATCATAATAATAGTAGAAAACAAAAATACAGTATAACTAATTTGACTGAAATTATGTATACTGCATACTTTTTGTAATTATTCGAGTGTATAAATAAAAATTATTATTAATATTATTATTATTTTTATAATTATTATTAAATGCTTAGCAAATATTTTATATATTGGTATTATTATGGGATTTATTTAATAATTTGCTTTATGGTTTAATGTTTGAGACACGACCATTAAAATTTGTGGTTTAGTGTTTTGTTTAATTTCAATTAGAATTAGAAAAACTAACTAAAGCCTACATGCAATGAATGAATTGCAATTAATTAAAATTATTTCTCCAATTTGTGCTTCAGGTTTTTAAAGTTTTATATTTAGGCCCTGCTTAAATAAATTTCTTCTGTGTAATTCACTTTAAACAGAGAGCTTTAAAATAACAAAAAGCACCCTAGATGTAACATAAAAGTTGTCCACATGAATTATGAAGCCTTTGATATCTTTGTGAAAAGATTTTTTTATTCTTCTTTAGTCATTATTCTCTGATAAAATGAGTAAATCGTTCCGTAGGTGTTCAACTGTTCCTCAATAGGTTTTTACAGTTCACCAAACTAGTTTCACTGATTAAATTTAGTTTAGATGTTCAATTCACTGACTCTGTGATTAACTGCAAGAGTTAACAGATCTCTGAATACTATTATTGGTTGGTTTTTCATAAAATCTGTCATATGGTTTCAGAATGACTGGAAGGTTGTGCAAAATGATACCTTTATGCATTTGTAGCTTCTTGAAATACATAGAGTCAGTTTAATATAATTAAATGAACTGAAATATTTCTGTTGAAATATGCCTTTGTGAGCAATTTGATACTTCACAAGTTTAAGATAAGGAATGTGAGGTTAATGTACAGGAGCTCTTTTAGCCGTGATGCAATTCATTTAGAATATATGGCTGCAGATTATTGAATGCAAGGTCTTCCGGGGTCCCCTTAACTGAATAAGGTCTTCTTCTGAAATACAGACTTCATTTAATGCTAAATTGGTCCCTCAAGTTGCATTGCAACTTTTTAATCGTAACACTTTTAACCTTGTCATCACTTGGAAAAATCAAAGAAGAAGCCAGGAGCTCCTGCATCTGAATCAGTTTGCAGGAGGAAACATGCAAACTGCTAATTAGAGTATGTGTGTGTTCTTGGGTTTGTTTCTTGCAGGTCCACTGTGAATGAAAGCCTGCCCCCTCCACCAGTAAGTGCTGTTCAGAGCCACAGGCTTCCTCAGATACACTCCGAGTCTCAAGAGCAAGAATACTACGCACCTATTTCTAGACTTGTGCAGGTAATAAGCCACATTGGTGTCATTGTGGACTGCAGACTATTGATTTGCTTTATGTGAAGTTATTTATGCTTCTCCTTCTATATTTATGTAATCTCTGATTTATTATATTGCTTAATTCAGCCTAGTTTGGTTACAGTTCTAGCAATGTATTTGGATATTTCACAAATATACACTAACATTTTTCAGTAAAAAGTTATATTTTTTTAAAGCAGATATTTATACTTTTATTTTGCAAGGATACATTAAACCAATTAAAAATGTGAACTGTAAACTCAGAGAGTGAATACATTAAAGTAGCTGTATGTAAGTTGTTGACTCTTCTAAAGCATAAGAATGCTATAAAGTGTTTTGCATAATATGCCAATCATATTTCAGCACCTCGGGTCGCCTTGTTGGAAAATCACATATTTCATTTATTCATTCAGATAGGCTATCAAAGTATGCGTCCACGACCAAAATGCAACCTCCGGTGGACAATAGCAGACTCCAAAATGAGATGCTGATTATTGGATATTATTAGCAAATAATATATATACTACGAGTTTAAACATTAGGTGAGGTTACATTGCAACCTTTTGGCTTGATAGTCAGATTCGCTCCTGTTGGTCCTCAATCTGGCAACCTGTGCATGGGTTTGTTTTAATCCAGGAATACAATACCTAATTCCACCACAGGGTGTCAAACTTACATACTGCACCTTTATTAATAATAATATACTATAATGATATATAATATATTATTATATATACTGTCAAAGTTAATATGTAGTTATTATTTGCTTACCCCTATTTTGTTCTCCTTCAGAAGATTATTAAAATCTGAAATATTTCTGCATCTCCATTGAAAGTCTTTTCACATCAGAATGCTAACATTTTAAAACATTTTTAAAGATACTATATACCCCACCACAAAATCAAGTGGTTTAGGCCTTGTCTTTTGAAGAGAGATGATTGCTTCAAATGATAAACAGATTTAATTCAACCAAAACCTCAATGGTTCTTATAGAGTATATTGTATATTTTGTTATTAGATATATTATATCATCCATTATATCTATTAAATTTAACTGTTCATCATTTAAAACGATTGTGTATTTATTTTTTTATATTTGTGTCATGTATAAAGATGTCTATATATACAGTATGATGATCGCACAACTGATGGCATTGATAATTACGAGAAATGTTTCTTGAGTACTAAATTGGCATGTTGAAATGATTTCTACTTATTTTTTTGGTTCTCTAAATCTTACATGAACTCTTTAGAAAGGTTTACTTTGATTCTGGACACCATCAACAAGCTGTTACAGCATCCCACAAAAGGAAAAGCTAGCTGCGCAGACTTTGATCTCTGTAAACACAGATACCAGCAGCTTTTTAAATGGGTGAAAGGAGCAAAGTGACTTCATAGTCTTGTTGACATGGCACTGAAAACAGCAAACATGTTTGCCCTTTGCACTTTTATAGAATCTACGTTAGACTTACACATTTTAATTGTGAAGAAAATGGCAAACAGTTCTGCATAAATAAAGATGACTTGGTTTGATTTTCATAGTCACAGCTGTGATGTTCTCTCTGTATTTCTTAGCTCAGGGGGAGGATCCAAAGAGGCGGAGCTACTAGTGCCAACCATGCAGTAAACAACCTGCCACCACTGAGAGAGCCCACCCTGATGCTGGAGTCTCTCTCTCGACCCAACACTACTCACACTTCCAGAGTAATGATATTATATATATGGTCACAATAAGATTTACTTTAGAACATTATTCAATCAGAAATTGCTGTTACATTTCACTAACAATTACAAATAAATAGTAGTAGTAGTATTAACAACTTTATTTTATATTTTCCAGCTGTCTTTTTTTTTCTTCACTCGATATTATGAGCACTGCTCCGTTTAAGCCCTCACCATAGTAGTCATACTAATAGTGAATAGGTCATGAGTTATTGATCCGGAAAATATGAATCTGTGAATCTGTTACTAACTTTACTGAACTTCATATTTTCATCTTTTTCAAGCTACGAATATTTAAAATTACAAATCAACACAACAAAACAAAGATGTGATCACAAACTGAGCACTTACGATCAATATACTTTACCCGCAGCTCTTTCACAGTAATTTATAAAGAGCACACAAACATACTGACAGTAATAGGTAACTTACTGTACATTGTTATGGGTCAATGATGCTAATATTCGGCACAAATCCATCAATTTCGCCTTTCTGGCTGTTCTTTCTATGAATGAATTATGTAGAAATACTGTCCATGTTTCATCATCGGTTAGTAACACTATATTTCATTGCACAACAATAGTCTTATCAGGCTTTTTGGCTAAAAATAGAGAAATCAGTTTAATTTGTTATTATTAGATTATTTTAAAATTTTCCTTATCCTGCTGTGCATGAACTAAGCTGTTAGGTCAACGTATGAGGTGGCTAGCCTAACCTAGCTTCAATTTTGATTGAAATATTCTATAATCGGTTGCCTATTATGTGGCGAATATACTCCTGTAATGAATACTGCAGTCCTTTTATGTCTGGCTTTCTTGGATATCTCACCTGTTCGCCAAAAATGACTAATTATATCCCTTGCAATGTCTGACACCGGCGCATACACATTGTAACAGACGTGCTAAACCGAAAGTAAATCTAGGTGTATGATTCTGGGGATGGAGTCCTAGTAACACTGACAAAATCACAAAATGTCACAAAGTCACAAAATGTGCCTAAGTATTCATGAAATACACAGCATTTGCCCATATTAGGGATTTTTTTAAAAGAACACAACCACACTGTATACCTGGATTTTCAGAAAATCTTTATCCTGGCCAGATTTTTCAGAAAATTTCAGTTTCAGTCACCCGATACTTCATTTTTGTGTGAACAAACAGCGAAAACGCATAGAAAAAAGTAGGGTTTTAAAAATACCCAAGTTCATGTGGACAAGACCTAAGTAAATAAAAACAATCGGGTGTGTTTTACATTTTAAATGTGTATAAAGTCATTGACTCTAAAAATGAAAGAGTCCACTTAGACGTTGAAAGATTTATGGTAAGAAAACCCATTCGTTTCAATGGCACACAAACAGCAGAGTGTACCTTCGACAAGCTTACACACTGTCAATGTTTAAAAGTTTTATTTTTCTGCATTGGGTTCACACATAACTTATACTGTACCATGGCTGCTTGCTTCAACACTTGATAAGCTGTGATGGGCATTTCATTTCCAACACACATTGCATACAGTAGACCAATCACAACAGACTCTGTCATCAGGCCAATCACCACAGATTAGTGTCTAGCAAAGAAAGTGTTTTAAATCCTCGAACACATCATATGGGTGTAGCGGAGGCCAGTTAGTGAAGTGCTGTGCAGCTAAACCTCACTTCACTGACCTCTAAAGGTGCTCTAGCAACAGACACTAGAGGCCATGGTCTTTGGCTTCCTTGTTTGAGAAACCGACTCCCATCCGGAAAGTCGCTGGTCTAATCCCAGCTCAGAGCCGGTTAGGGGTGTAGGATAGGTGGGGTTACATGGGCATTTTTGAGATTATTAGGTAAAAATAAATGCATTTTATAAGAAATTAAAAGTGTTTTTTTTCATGCATGTCAGCCTGTAGTTAGGGACTCAAAAAAGTTTTTTTGTACATAATTGAGGCACTTTAAATAACTATTTTACTCATTTTAGATTAACATTAGAGAGGAACTAAACATTTACCTTGTTGTAGGTTATTCCCAAATGTTGATCTGCACTCCTCATACTTTGAATAGAAGTCGTGACATGACCAGTCATTATGGTATCAGATGTTAGGCAGTCATAGCTATACTGTACTGTAGGTAACCAGCAGTTTAACATGGAACAAAAACAAAGAGTAAAACTGCATTTCTATACAGCTTTTTACCAACCTATACAAGGAAGTGATATTGATACTTTCCTGATTCAGAGACTGCCGTGGTAACACTGCTTAGAATAAGTGGTAAATACAGAGTCTGTTGTTAGTAACTCATGCTATCTTTTTGTTCACCAGTCCGACACCCCTATGAAAAGGTCTTTTACACCTATGGATTTTGCCTGTAACATGAGGACAAGTCGAGGACTTGTTAAAGGTGGGTTGCTTTTGCACTCAGTCAGTGGTGTAACTCTTATGAATTTATGCCACATTTACATATATGAATTCTGTAATTTGAGCTATTCTAATCCATTAATTTAGGGAATCAAAACACAAAAGCAGAATTAATATGAAAGCAATGAAATCAAATCAGATTCATATGAATTAGCTTAAACTAATTTGTTAAACAATTCATTTAAAATAAATATTCATTCATTTTCTTTTCGGCTTAGTCCCTTTATTAATCTGGGGTCGCCACAGCAGAATGAACTGCCAACTTATCCAGTATAAGTTTTATGCCGCTTATGCCCTTCCAGCTGCAACCCATCACTGGGAAACACTCATACATTCTCATTCACACACATACACTACGGACAATTTAGCTTACCCAATTCACGCATAGCACATGTCTTTGCGCTAGACTAAAACCGGAACACCCAGAGGAAACCCACGCGAACGAAGGGAGAACATACAAACTCCACACAGAAATGCCGACTGACCCAAACAAGGTTCGAACTAGCAACCGTCTTGATGTGAGGCGAGAGCGCTACCCACTGCATTACCACGTCACCATTTTAAAGAAATAGTTCACCAAAATGTTTTTATTTGCTCATTGTTTACCAACCTTCAAGTGGTATCAAACCTTTATGACTTTCTTTTTCCTCTCGAGCACAAACAAAATAATTTTAAAGAATGTTAGAAACGGGTAACCATTGACTTCCATACTAGGAAAAACAAATACTGTGGAGGTCAATGGTTGCAGTTTTCAAACAAATAACTTTGTTTGTGTTTAACAAAAGAAAAAATCTGAAACCGGTTTGTGACAAGTGAAGGGTGAGTAAATGATGACATGACATTTTAGTTTTGGTTGAACTACTGTATCTCTTTAATAATGTTTTTTATTTTATTTTATTAACCATTTATTGGTTTTATAGATAACAAATGGACTGGCAAAGTAAATAGAATGGTCTCATAAATGTCATTAGTGCAGTTACTGAATGAATCAACAACTATTGCTATTAAAGCCATCGTCACCCTAAGCATACATGCTGCATTTTTGCACAGTATTAACCTCAGCACAAACTCTTCAAAATCTCCTAGATAAGTAAAGAGTCAACACTATCAAGGCTTTCTCCACAAAAAAAAAATAAGATTACAGTCTTTGTCAAAATTTTTCTATCTAAATGCATATTCACACGAAGCATTCTGAGAACTATACATCCATGACCAATTAGTTGTACCTACAAAAATGATCTATGTTGTCCCAGAACAACATTATTCACACATTTAAGTGGATTATACTTCATACAAAAACACTGTCAAATATTTTTAAGAATTGTGTTTCATCTCATTAAAATCCATTTTAAACAGGCAGCAAAATTGTTTAATTACACTAATGGCTTTCCATCATTTTTACTTAAAATTAAATGAAAATGAAATCTTCTGCATCTCTCTTAGGTGAAAGCACACCTATGGGTGTGACGGGATTTAGCATGGGAATCACCAGCTCTACTGCTAGTGGCTTTTTGGAGTGTGTGACTCCTAACAGAAGGCGTCTGCCCTGTGTTGATGGGGAAGCAGGGAATGTAATCAGCTCTATAGGTCAGTTCACTACTGGCTTTTTTCATTTATCAAATTATTTAATATTATTATTTGATGCAATTTAAAAATAACACAGCTTATGAATTGGGCACAGTTTAAACCAAGTACCATTTGTTGATTTTTTTTTTTAATATACAATTTACTATTCTGTCTCTGAAGCTTGAACCAATTAACTGTTCACTTTATACTTCATAGGTTGTGTAGAATCAACATATGAATGATCCAGAGAAATATGCAGTGACAAAGAGGCCTTAATTAAAAGGAATATGTGTGGGTTTGTTGTAAGATATGGATATTATTTAGCTTTTGAGACTCTGGAGATTAATTACTTTCAATAGGGCAGAGTCGCACAATGAAAACATTTCATTAAGTCTGAGTAAACCATCAATACAATCTGCTTTCAGGTGGCCAGAATCATCGGAAACAGTTGAGCCGGTTTCCAGTGCATGTGAGGAAGAAATTTCAGCCTGTCATGCCATAGCAGAAGGTTCATTTGGAATTAAATGAAGAGGCCTGACTGGACAGACACTATGAATGCACTGATATGGTATCACTGCTATCATATGACTTTATTGTGATTCACTTTATGGTTTGTAACCATACTGTATGTCCAGGTACAAACTGATACGGAAGTGCCTTTAGTTTAACGACTTGGTGGTATTTGCAATGACTTCAACAACTAATACGACAAATTACCTCGTTAATTTGTGTGTTTTTTTTTATTTATTAAGAAAAATCTATGCCAAAATGATTGTTTTGTTAAAGCATGTCAATACATGTATCATGTAAAGTTTAATATAAATTTGTTTTTACTGCTTAAAACAATGTCTGAGGCCAATGGGTTAAAAAAAAACTATTTTGCAGAGATGGCTGATAATACTGATTGAACCAAACCAACCTGTTTGTTTAAGCAATGTTTTATTGAGACTTTCACCTCTTAGGTGGAGTTATTTGCAATAAAATTGTTATGTAATTTGGCAATGGTTCAGTAATCACCACAGCACTCAACAGAGATCTTTAAATGTTTGTAATGTTTACCATTTGCATACAGTTGAGATCAGAATTATTAGCCCTCCTTTAAATATTTTTATTCTTTTTGAAATATTTCCCAAATAATGTTTAACAGAGCAAGGGCATTATTACAGTAATTCTGATATTCATATTTTTTCTTCTGGAGAAAGTATTTTTTGTTTTCATTCGGCTAGAATACATTTTTTTAAAGTACATTTTAAGGTCACAATTATTAGCCCCTTTAAGCTATATATTTTTAATAGTTGACAGAACAAACCATTGTTTGCATGGTTGCATCATTTGAATCGGTTACAATAAATTGCCTAATTACCCCATCCTGCCTAGTTCACCTTATTAACCTAGTTAAGCCTTTAAATGTCACTTTAAGCTGTATAGAAGTGTCTTGAAAAATATCTAGTAAAATATTATGTACTGTCTTTATGACAAAGATAAAAGAAATCAGTTATTAAAAATGAGTTATTAACTATTATGTTAAGAAATGTGTTGAAACAAATGTTTTCTCCGTTAAACATAAATTAAGAAAAAAATAAACAAAGGGCTAATAATTCAGGGGGGCTAATAATTCATCTGAATCAAATAAATTTGTATTCTTATCTGTGCTCTGTTTTACAAACAAAGCTGTTAGCGTTCACACTATTATAAATTGAAGGAGCATGAGATGGCAAGAAGAAAATCAGGGCCATTTCAGTTAAAATGTGCTTTTCTCTGTTTAACAAAAGACTTGGCAAACCTCTTCCATTAGAGAAGTTTAGCTGAATTTGTGCCAGTTACCCACAAAAACCCACCAATAATAGGGCTGATTATTATCTATTGCTTCATTTCCTCTGTTGTCTGTTAATGTTTCAGCGAGAAGCACTATACCCACAGATAACCTGCGTCTGTCCCAGTTATATATCATAACTTCATCTGTTTGATCAGGCCAGGGTGTTTTTCTCTCTGTTTGTACGAAGCAGCTAAATGTGTTAAGTCTGAAGTTCACGGTGAAGCAGCCTGTGTGCCTCTTTTCAGAGTGTTAGCTACGGCCAGCTTCATCCAAACAAAATGGGCATCCTTTTTGGATTATACATCCTGGGGATTTTATTTACAGCTGTCCTTTTACTGCTTTTGGCATCTACCGCGTATAATCCGCTAAAAAATTATATCGGAAAATGGAACGAAATGAGACCGATTCCGGGAATGGCGGGTGCTTATCCAATCATTGGCAATGCACTGCAGTTTAAAACCAATGCAGGAGGTAAGGGATCTTTTTTAAAGATTTCATTGCAATGACACTACAAAATTATGAGTGTTTTTTTTTCCAAAGACTTCTTCAATCAGATTATCGAGGGCACAAATGAAAACAGACACCTCCCTCTTGCAAAGGTGTGGGTGGGTCCAGTCCCTTTTCTGATCTTGTATCATGCTGAGAATATTGAGGTACCCATTACTAAAATTTTATCCAATCACATGTTTATTTTCTTCTTCCTGTACATAATTAAGTTTTTTTGCACAGCTGGAAGTTTATTATCAAGCCTGTGTTTCCCATCAGGTGGTCCTCAGCAATTCCAGACACCTTGACAAATCATACTCATATAGGTTCCTGCACCCCTGGCTTGGCACAGGCCTGCTCACCAGGTACAGTGGGTTTACCTCTCATTTTGGCAATTGATTTTTATTACTTGTTATTATCACTTTTAATATATCATTGACTCAGAGAATTACATTTCTTTCATTTATAGCTAAATGATAGACATCTAAAATTTATTGATTGATTAAGGGGTCAGGGGTATTTATATTGCGTTCTGTGACGGCTTGACCATATTTGGATTTGACAAATGTTTTTACTAATCTTGAAATTAGTATGTCACTTTGACCCCACTACCCTCTAAAAGTGTTTACATTTATACAATAGGCAAATGCTTTGATTTAAAAAATGCAATTGGTATTGAAGTTCTAAATCTATGGTGAAGCTAAAATAAGAAATGTTTTTCTTCTCTATTAAGCTAAAAAACAATGTGACAACAGGTGTGTTTTTGCTTTATCACAGGCTATGCTAAATATTAGCTAGCTTAAGCAACTTTTGATTTAAGCTTAAATCATTTTTTTGATTAAAATGTTATTTTGATAAACCTATCTGTTTAATAAATCAGTTTTGTTTAAATGCATCAAAATACATTATCTTTATTCACTGACAAATTGATAAAAAGTTTCATTTTCAAAATGTGGTGTATGCTGAGCACTGTATACAGTGCATCCGGAAAGTATTCATAGAGCTTCACTTTTTCCACATTGTTTATGTTACAGCCTTATTTCAGAATGGATTAAATGAATTAATTTCCTCAAAATTCTACACACAATACCCCATAATGACATCTTTTTTTTTTTTTTAGTTGCAAATTTATTAAAAATAAAAATAATAAAAAATCACATGCACAAAAGTATTCACAGCCTTTGCTTAATACTTTGTTGATGCACCTTTATCAGCATTTACAGCCTCAAGTCTTTTTGGATATAATGCCACAAGCTTGGCACACCTGTCTTTGGGAAGTTTTACCCATTCCTCTATACAGTACCTCTCAAGCTCTATCTATCAGGTTGGATGGGGAGCTACGGTGTACAGCCATTTTTAGATCTCTCCAGAGATGTTCAATAGGATTTAATCCTGGGCTCTGGCTGGGCCACTCAAGGACATTCACCAAGTTGTTGTGAAGCCACTCCATTGATATTTTGGCGGTGTGCTTTGGGTCATTGTCCTTCTAGAAGATGAACTGTTGCCCCAGTCTGGGGTCAAGAGCAGTCTGAAACCGGTTTTCATTCAGGATGTCTCTGTACATTGCTGCATTCATCTTTCCCTTGATCCTGACTAGTCTTCCAGTTCCTGCTGCTGAAAAACAGTCCCACAGCATGATGGTGCCTCCACCATGCTTCACTGTAGGGATGGTATTAGCCTGGTGATGAGCGGTGCCTGGTTTTCTCCAAACATAACGCCTGGCATTTTCCCCAAAGAGTTCATTTTTAGTCTCATCGGACCAGAAAATTTTGTTTCTTATGATCTGAGAGTCCTTCAGATGCCTTTTGACCAATTCCAGGTGGGCAGTGGCTTCCATCTGGCCACTCTACCATACAGGCCTGATTGGTGGATCGCTGCACAGATAGTTGTCCTTCTGTAAGGTTCTCATCTCTTCACAGAAGAACGCTAGAGCTCAGACAGAGTGACCATAGGGTTATTGATCACCTCCCTGACTAAGGCCCTCCCGATCACTCAGCTTAGATGGCCGGCCAGCTCTAGGAAGAGTCCTGGTGGTTCCAAACATCTTTTACTTACTGATTATGGAGGCTACTTTGCTCATTGGAACTTTCAGAGCAGCAGAAATTTTCATGTAACCTTCCCCAGCCTCGTGCCTCGAGACAACCCTGTTTTGGAGTTCTACAGACAATTCCTTTGTCTTCATGCTTGGTTTGTGTTTTGACATGCACTATCAACCCTGGGACCTTATATAGACAGGTGTATGCCTTTTCAAATCATGTCCAATCAACTGAATTTACCACAGGTGAACTCCAATTAAATTGCTGAAACATCTCAAAAATGATCAGTGGAAACAAAATGTACCTGAGCTCAATGTAGAGCTTCACGGTAAAGGATGTAAATACTTATGTACATATGACTTTTTTTTTATTTTGTTATTTTTAATTTTTAATAAATTTGCAACAATTTCAAAAATCTTTTTTTACATTGTCATTATGGGGTATTGTGTGTAGAATCTTGAGGAAATAAATTAATTTAATCCATTTTGGAATAAGGGTGTAACATTAAAAAATGTGGAAAAAGTGAAGCGCTATGATTACTTTCCGGATGCACTGTATATACATTACAAGTTATGGTAGGAGCACATCTATCTTATTTACTATATTAAGTTTGTATCTGTTATCTAAAAACAGCCACGTGTCCTTCAAAGCTCAGAACATTTAAAGTCAAACTAAACTGAGTTTCACATACGGTAAAAGGACCACCTGCCAAACTGGCAGATCTCATATCTCATTCAAGAGCAGCTTGCATCAAGAGCTGCAAACAAAGTCTATCAAAAGCACAGTCATTTATAATCGGCCACAATGGACACAAGGTCACTGGCCATCTGTCCAAACACAGCAGAGTCCAGAAAAACTGAGAAATTGACCATAAAATCATTTCCACAATCCCTGTTGGCCTTTACAGTGTTTAAGCTGTTAACTTGTGGTCACCGGCTTGACTCTTCCCAACTTTTCTTCCCACAGCACAGGGGAGAAATGGCGTAATCGGCGTAAAATGCTGACTCCAACCTTCCATTTCTCCATTCTCTCTGACTTCCTGGAAGTGATGAATGAACAAACGGATATTTTGATTCAGAAGATGCAGAAGCTTGAAGACGGAGAGCCATTTAACTGCTTTAACTTCATAACATTGTGTGCTTTGGATATCATTTGTGGTACAGTACAACCATTCTTTCAATATATGGGGCCATATGTGACTTAAAGTATCTGATTTTCAACATGAGAAGAATGAATGAAAGAACCAAAAGCTCTAGCTTCATTTCAGAATAGTTTCTATTCATTTAAATAATGGATGGATATACGATGGCGACGCAGAGGCGCAGTAGGTAGTGCTGTCGCCTCACAGCAACAACGTCACTGGTTCAAGCCTCGGCTGGGTCAGTTGGCGTTTCTGTGTGGAGTTTGCATGTTCTCCCTGCATTCGCTTGGGTTTCCTCTGGGTGTTCCGGTTTCCCCTGACAGTCCAAAGATATGCAGTACAAGTGAATTGGGTAAGCTAAATTGCCTGTAGTGTATGAATGTGAATAAGTGTGTGTGGATGTTTTCCAAATATTGGTTGCGGCTGGAAGGGCATCTACTGCGTAAAAATGTGCTCGATAAGTTGGCAGTTCATTCCGCTTTGGTAACCCCGAAACAATAAAGGGACTAAGCCGAAAAGAAAATGATTGAATGAATGGATGGATATACGAAAAAAGTGTTCCAGTGGATCAGTTTGCTCCAGATTAGGAGTAAATTAATCCAAGTCACAGGGTAAAGTGCATTGGCTCATGGTAAACTGACAATCTACATAATTATTACAAAAAAAATAGGATAAATTTTAGAGCTAAATCTTCTCTTTTAAACTTCATTAAAATATGCACTTGTCGGCCACTTTGTTAGGTACACCTGTCCAACTGCTTGTTAATGCAAATTTCTAATCAGCTAATCACATGGCAGAAACTCAATGCATGTAGACATGGTCAAAGACCATGAGCATGAGAATGGGGAAGAACGGTGATTCAAGTGACTTTGAACGTGGCATGGTTGTTCGTGCCAGAAACTGCTGATCTACTGGGATTTTCAAGCACAGCCATCTCTAGGATTTACTAAGAAATTTTCCGAAAAAGAAAAAATATCCATTGAGCGACAGTTTTGTGGGTGCAAATGCCTTGTTGATGCCAGAGGTGAGAGGAGAATGGCCAGATTGATTCGAGCTGATAGAAAGGCAACAGTAAATCAATTAACCACTAGTTACAACCGAGGTATGCATAAGTGCATCACTGAACACACACAACATCGAACCTTGAGGCAGATGGGCTACCGCACGGGTGCCACTCTTGTCAGCTAAGATTCAGGAAACTGAGGCTACAATTTGCACTGGCTCACTAAAATTGGACAATAGAAGATTGGAAAAACTTTGCCTGGTCTGATCAGTCTCAATTTCTGCTGTGACATTCAGATGGTAGGGTCAGAATTTGGCGTCAACAACATGAAAGCATGGATTCATCCTGCTTTGAATCAACAGTTCAGGCTGATCGTGGTGGTGTAATGGTGTAGGGGATATTTTCTTGGCTCAATTTGAGCTCATTAGTACCATTTGAACATGGTGTCAACACCACAGCCTGCCTGAGTATTGTTGCTGTCCATTTCCATCCCTTTATGCACCAATGTACCCATCTTCTGATGGCTACTTCCAGCAGGATAATGTGGCATGTCATAAAGCACAAATGATCTCAGACTGGTTTCTTGAACATGACAATGAATTCACTGTACTCAAATGGCCTTCCCAGTCACCAGATCTTAATTCAATAGAGCACCTTTGGGATGTGGTGGAATGGGAGATTTGCGTCAATGATGTGCAGCTGACAAATCTGCAACTGTGTGATGCTATGATTTCAGTATGGACCAAATCTCTGAGGAATATTTCCAGTACCTTGTTGAATCTACGCCACAAAGGATTAAGAATAAGACAGTTCTGAAGGCAAAATGGCCTCCAGACAGATACTAGTAAGTTGTACCTAATAAAGTGGTCGGTGAGTGTATGCTTTAATGAATAATTTTCCTTGTGTAACATAAAAGCAAAATATGCATTTCAGTATCTTCTTCTTTTTTTGTAGCTGCATTTCTAAAACAATTACACTAATGTTGTACACTTCCCAAAACAGAACAAACAGGGTAGCATTTCATTAGAATAAAAAAACAACAACAACATTAGAATGATATTATTGTAAATTGTGCTGCAGTTTTGTTTACATACTGATTACCGAGGTTCGTTTCTGTAAAATGGCAATTGTTTTGTTTGTATGCAACAGAAACCGCAATGGGAAAGAAAATCTATGCTCAGAGCAATGCTGACTCGGAGTATGTCCAAAGTGTATATAAGTAAGTGTTGTACTTCAGTTATAGCGCTTGTGCATTGCTTATGAATTGGGCAGCCATGTTGTTCTCAAGGAAAAAACAGTGGGTGCTTCTCAAAATCCTTCCAAATTTTCTCGCCCCTGCGTCCTCCATCCTACAACCCGGAAATGATTGAGCTCAGCTATCTTGTAGGACATCTCAATCCTCTAATTGCACCATGAGGATTGAGGAGAGGGAGTTTTTTTCCTGAGAAGTCATGAGCAAGGATTCACAGATCCTTTGTGGAAGTGTTTTATTGACCAAGAGTGATGTGCATGTAAATTCTCTTTCTCCTTCACATCTTCGCCAATAATCACTTACTAGAGCTGAAAAATTAAACACATTAATTTGAATATTAAGTCATTTTTATTTTAAATGTGGTTTGTTTTCACAGTTCCTTTCATTTTGGTGTAAAATACTTGTCAGCACAAATAAAAAAAAGTTAATCACAGGGATTAATTGATTGTTAATCATAAGTAAAATAAAGACTACAGACAAACGGATTTTTGTGGAGGTTGAAACTATTATAATTTAAATATTTGTATAATTCGAGAATTCGAATGTGCAAATAAAATCAGGAATGTGCAGTATTCATTAAATGATGATGATGATTTGAAAGCATTAAAGGATACGAGGATATATAATTTCATTGAATTCCTCTGTCCTCGCGTCTTTTCCTTGCATCTTTCTCTGGAATCCTGAAGGGGTGGAGCTAAGACACGGGGAAAGGAAGCGAGGAGAGGAAAAAAGGATTTACAAATAAAAATTTGAAAAGAACCCAGTGTTTATATTTCTCTTGCAGAATGAGTGACATCATCACTAAGAGACAGAGAGCACCATGGCTGTGGCCAGACTGGATCTACAACAAATTAAAGGAAGGCAAAGAACATGCCAAAAGATTAAAGATTCTCCACTCTTTCACTGCAAATGTAAGTCAACAGCTTTATATATATATATATATATATATATATATATATATATATATATATATATATATATATATATATATATATATATATATATATATATATATATATATATAATTTTTTTCATGACTTTTTTAGTCCAACTTTCTATATTTGACCTTAAGTATTTGTACTGTCCTTTTAATATTTCAAGATAAAAAAAAAAAAAATTGAGGAAACACTTGTAACTTTTATAATTTTTATTTGTTTATTTATTTCATTATGGGACCTTGTTCTACACTGTGACATCTTTTGATGTTTAAAAGTTTAACAAAGTTAAATGTACTGTATATTGATTATTTTTTGTAATTTGAAGCAACTTTGTTTAGATTGGCCATGCGTATTATTGTACAGAAACCAGGTAATGGACTGCGAGTGTTCTTGTTTCTGTTGTTGCAAAGATTTATTGATATGTTTTTTTTAAACAATATATTGTTTTAAACCACTAGAAATATTAATTAGTCACTTATTTAATATGTAAGATTTTCAACATCAAAAGTTGTTGGAGTAGAGATCAAGGTCCCATAATGCAGTTAGTTGTAGACTAAAGGCAGACATGTTTTTTTCAATTTCAATAAAGGTTTGAGTTTTTGTATGTACAAATCTGTTAATTAACAGGTGCACATTGCTCGAGATTCAAGGATGTTTTCTGTATATTTATGCTTTTAAATGATAAGACCTTGATCTGTGATCTGACAACTTTTTATGTAGAAACTTGAAATATGCATCTGGCTTATAAACTGCATTTCACTTTTCAGCATCAAAAGTTGTTGGAGCACAGATTCGAGCCCCATAATTTAATTCAAAATAAACCGAAAACAGCCACTATACACATGTTAATTAACATAACTTTTTTTTAAAGTTTATATACCAACAAAATAGAAAGTTGAGGATCAAATTTCTAGATTGTTTCTAAATTCGTACATATTTTTCTCTGTTTTCTTGACATGAAGGTCATCAGAGAGAGAGCAGAGTTCATGAGCTCTGAGCCAGACAGTGATTCTGACCAGGGTGAGAGGAAAAGACAAGCCTTCCTAGATATGCTGTTAAAAACTACCTATGAGAATGGACAGAAATTGAGTCATGAGGACATTCAGGAGGAAGTGGACACCTTCATGTTTGAGGTACAGATAAAGCTATGTGGATGGATGGATGGATGGACTGATAGATACTGTAGAAAGAGACACTAATTTTTTTTTTTTTATTTGACAGGGTCATGATACCACAGCAGCTTCAATGAACTGGGCTTTACATCTGATTGGGTCTCATCCTGAGGTACAGAAGGCAGTGCAGGCAGAACTACAGGAAGTCTTTGGTATACTAGTCTTTTTCAAATACTTTCATAAACTGACTAGCCAAAAATCTCATTCTTTTGGATGTTTATTTCGATCTTTAGGTATGCATTCATCAACATATTGTTACAAAACCTGCAGTGTCACAAAGTTTATTCCATCAAGGGTTACTTTCAGCTTTGGCTAACCATAGGAGGACCTCCAGTATCTGGTCCTGAGGATTTGATCCACTACTACAGGATATCTCATACAGTAGATGTTTAAGTAACTAAAATTTTAAAATGACCCTTTTTTTCCATATTAAATCAATAACAATTAAAGGATTTATTTTCTTTTAATGACTTCATGCATATAATTTTTTTCAGGAAATCAAACCCATGATCTTAATCTTGTGGAATTTCCATTATGATGTTAGCATCATGTCATTCTTTAGACAACCTGAAATGTCACAAAACTGATTTTCTCTGTATGCTAAAGCAAATCTCAAAAATGTTCAGTGTAGTTACATTGGTGGTCCGAACATACACTCACCGGCCACTTTATGACGTACAACTGCTTGTTAATACAAATTTCTAATCAGCCAAGACGATCTGCTGCAGTTCAAACCGAGCATCTGAATGGTGAGGAATGGTGATTTAAGTGATCTACTGGGATTTTTTTACACACAACCAGATCTAGCGTTTACAGAGGATGGTCCGAAAAAGAGAAAATATCCAGTGAGTGGCAGTTCTCTAGGCGTAAATGCCTTGTTGATGCCAGAAGTCAGAGGAGAAAGGCCAGACTAGTTTGAGCTGATAGAAAGGTAAAGGTAACTCGATAACCACTCGTTACAACTGAGACATGCAGAAGAGCATCACTAAATGCACAACACAATAAACCTTCAGGCGGATGGGCTACAGCAGCAGAAGACGACACTAGGTGCCACTTCTCTCCAACCCAGTACTAGTAAGGCATACCTAATAAAGTGGCCAGTGAGTGTACGTCTTGGCTAAATCATACCATGGCTAAATTTGGGCTGGCAGTGAAAATTGAATAAAAGTCTTACAATAGTCCAGAAATAAACTAGTCATCAAATGTGTCAAAACGTGTGTCATCATCACTGAAAAATGTCCATGTAAAACGTTTTGCAAAATAGTAGTTTAAGAAATGAAAAGCTACCCAGTGGATCAGTTGGGGTTAAAAAATTATTGACGCATAACAAGTCAGATCCATATTAATCATAGATGTACTATAATAGTAATCATTGGCTCTTTTTTTTCTTGTATCCAAACAGCCTCCATTTTTCAGTTCATGCTGTTTACAGTCCATTTAGCATAATGCCTACATTAATATGTTCTCAACAAAGCAGTTGTTCAGTTTACTCAGAATTTAAAGAAAGCATCTAGATGCTGGGAAATGGTTGCTGACAAATTCATTCTGATTGGCAGGTTCATCGGAGCGCCATGTGGGGGTGGAGGACCTGAAAAAGCTGCGCTACCTGGAGTGTGTGATCAAGGAGAGTCTGCGGATCTTCCCCTCCGTGCCTCTGTTTGCGCGCAGCATCTGCGAGGCTTGTCATATCAGTAGGTGGCAGCAGTTTGTCACTTTGCCAAACAACGCAGCGAACACAGCGAGATCAAAGATGTGCACTTTTTCATGCCATTCTCATTATTTGCATCTCAGCGTAACAGCAGATGTCACAGCTTCTATTTCCATTTCCCATTGTCAACCAGGAGACCTGACTGTTTCCTTCTACTGAGGGCCATGAGTCTTTCATGTCAAAGTTAAACGAAAGAGTAGCTGGATGGAAAATAACAACTTTTAGGACAGAAAGTGTTGCAAAACGCAGCAAATGCATCAGTTTATCAATTATTTATTAAAGCTTTAGTGGTAAAGTTGCGTGTGCAAACTCAAATGTGCACTGAATCCTGTTTATTTCTTAAAACTCTATGACATGTTTGACATAACTGTTGTTGTGTTGCTTGCTTGCAGATGGGTTCAAAGTCCCAAAAGGAGTGAATGCTGTTATCATACCATATGCTCTTCACCGGGACCCGCGCTACTTTCCAGAACCTGAGGAATTTCAACCGGAAAGGTTTATGCCAGAAAACAGCAAAGGGAGGCATCCATATGCGTACATCCCTTTTTCTGCTGGGCCAAGGAACTGCATTGGTAAGACAAAGTACAAAATCACAACAAAATGATTTTTAGTTAAAAAAAAATTTAATTTTTTATTGAAATTCTTGTGCTAAAGGCTTTCCATTATAATAAAAAGTAATGTGCAAGGCAACACATTGGTGTTGATGAAAGTCTTCATAAGCTTTTTTTAGTGAAGATGTTTAAGTAGAAAAGACAGAGAAGCTTTGGAAGTGCAGCATACTGTATAACCAAAGACTGTAGATGTACAAAGAAGATTTACTTGCATACTGTATACGCTATAAATGGGGGAAAGTGCAACATTCAGTATGGCCACCACAGCTAAGTAGGTCCCTCTTTTTGGTCAGAATAGCCCTATTTTGTTTGTTACAGCAATCCCTTTTATTTGTCTACAACTGTGTGCATGTGCTGCTTTTGACTAGAGTAGTAATCTAATTGCATATTGGATCTTAAAGTGTCATCCTCTGGTCTTTGCCCCTGTTTTTTTTTCCTTTTCTTGAAACATCTTCCTCTGGTTACCATTAAAACCAGGAGACCATCATAACCAATGAGAATATCATGGAATTCTTGCCAATCTTTGAGCATGCACAGAAGCTAGAGCAAACTTGCAGTTTCAAAGATAAGAGCTTAAACAGTGGCGCAGCAAACGGGCCCGCAGGGCACGCACCGCGGGGGGGGGCCCGCGTGATTAGGGGGGCCCTGTGTCGTCGCGATTTTCAATAATTGAAAATCCAGCAACCGCAATAATCAAACTCTTGGGAACAACTGTGGTCGGAACCAGAGTTCACAGGTCTGTGTTCTCTGCGGTGTACTACTTCATTCTGATTGCTTGCCGCCGAATCACATCATAGCTCATACCATAAAGTTGACTTGATTTCAACTCTCCTCGATGCTCACACCGGAGAAGACGTGCCGCGCTGTTTCTCGCCGCCGGTTCTCATTTAAATGAATGACTTCTGGCTACTTTGACGCTCTCGCCACTTTCGGTTTATGATCGCTCCTCGGTTTGTAAAGCCGGTTTGCAGTGTTTGATTCACTAAAAAGAATTGACACGTGATAGTCATTTCCTCTGTAATCTGACTTCACCAGTTAATAGTAATAATAACTCTCATCCACCACCAGCATCCACCTGGACGGCAGCCATATTGTGCACCCCACACCAGCTGATTGGTGGAGAGGAGACAGAGTGATGAAGCCAGTTATGATGTTGGGATAGTTAGGAGGCCATGATGGACAGAGGCCAGTGGGCTAATTTGGCCAGGATGCCGGGGTTAAACCCCTACCTTTTTTTGAAGGACATCTTGGGAATTTTAACGACTACAGAGAGTCAGGACCTCGGTTTCCATCAATATACTGAGGCTTTAGGACCCACACAGACTGCAGGTTGAGCGCCCCCTGCTGGTCTTACTAACACCACTTCCAGCGGCAACCTAGCTTTTCCATATGGTCTCCCATACTAACAAGGTGCAATGCTGCTTAGTATTAGTGGGCGACCATGTAAGAGTTGAAGAGAGCTACTGTAGCTGCCGGCCTTGTTGCAGTTGTTTCCTTTAACCAAATAGAGCTTACTATAAGCGATAGTTTCTCTGTAATAAAACTAAAGTTGTTGCATTGTGTGTTACACCCATTAAAGAGTTATTTTCTCCTGTACTCCGACTGCACAGGCTGGTTAGTATAGATTGCTCTGAATTTCCTGGCTCTGGCTTCCCATCTCTAACTATATGACACCCTCAAAAGTTGATAAGTTTTCTCGTCTGATTCTCACAAGAGTTATGTGACTTATTCAGCACATCTAGCTGAAAGAGACGCACAGTGCGCTCATCTCCAGAGTGTTTGTCCCACCTCTGAATGAAACAGATTGTTTCCCAGTGAGCGGTTACTTGCAGGTTCAGGTCACTGGCCACACACAAGGAGAAGCTTCTAACAAAACTGAATGAGAGCCACATACCGTTGGAGATTTATTATTTCAGTGTTCAACTCATCTCTACTGCCTTCCAGGAATGAAAGCACCAAATAAGTAGAAATTTACTTCACTCGTTTTTTGTCATTCCAAGATCTTATTCTGCCTTTCCTGCTTTCTCTTTGTTTGTGTGTCTGTGGCTCCAGGCCAACGCTTCGCCATGATGGAGGAGAAGGTAGTTCTTGCTACAATCTTGCGTCACTTTGACGTAGAGGCGTGTCAGAGCCGTGAGGAACTGCGCCCTCTGGGGGAACTCATTCTGCGTCCCGAGAAGGGCATTTGGATCAAACTACAAAGAAGAAGCAAATAGCTCTCACCATCAATATGAGGTTGCATCTGTTTCTGTTTTGCCTCTGCTTCTAGTTTCGATGCTAGTTTTATGTAGATGCAGTTTTTTGCATTTTGTGTGCTGGTTTTTATGGGAAATTGGATGAAATGGATAAAAGGAAGAGCTGTGAGAAGCTGAAGGTATAATCAAATGAATAAAATATGTGGACACTTTATTTTAAAGGGGAAATATCTATTTTATAAGGGGTTTAAACACTCTTATGACACAACTGTGAATATAGCCAGCCTCTAATGCTGAAAATGTATTATTTTATTTTTTTATAATCACATTCATAAAAAAACAGTCTGCAGAAACACTTTGTTTAACTTTCTCTCTTTTTACACGTCTTTGGAAAGGGAAAGTCGCACTCATTCGTTACGATCTATCCCTCATTAGCATAAACAAACCTGAGTGAGAAGAAGCAGTCTTTTAGAGTTTCCATGCCGTACCTGCTGAAGATACTTTCAGCGAATAAAAGGCATTATAAATGTAGAGTTTTAGGATGCACAAATGAACGCAGGAGTCTTCATAGACTGCATCTTTGTTGACATTTTCAGTTTTTCACAGAGATAACGTTAGCCTTGTTTTGAATCTGCTAGGCATTTGTAGCTCCACCCTCTATGGAAAGGAGAGCTGGGAATAAAATCTCATTTGAATTTACAGCAACAATCACCAAAACGGCACAATTCGAATCAAAGATTAATTATTACATTGTTTGTGGGGTTTTTGGGGTATCCTTAGAAACATCAGAAACTTATTTTACATTTTTTTTAAAAGAAGACATAACAGGTCCCCTTAAATGTACAATTCACACTAATAAGAATCTATTTGCTAAGACTTTGAGCTCAATAAACTACTCATTAGCTGCTTATTTTTTAGTTAGTAACAACTAAGTAGCAGTTGGGTTTAGGTATTGAGTAGGATTATGGATGTAAAATAAGCTCATACTTTATAAGTGCTAATAGGCAGGTAATAAGCTAGTCGTAATACAGGATCTTTTGAATGGTGTGAATTGTTACTTAAACTAACGTGTTACTAAAATATGTTATAAAAAGATAAGAAAGAGGAGCCAGAAGTTTCAAGGACAAATTGTGCAGAAATTCTGATTCCATGAAGACCTACTTATAAATGAGAAATAATGGATCTTAAGCTAAAGTGTGTGTGCATTATGCTTAAAATGTACATTTCTTTACACTCTGCTTACATTTAAAGACATTTCTTTACTAAACACCATTAAATATTTTATTTAGTTTTATTTATAATTATTATAATACCATTTCTACATCCTCACCCACCCTAACTTTAACCATATCTCACCTCAATAGAAGCAAATTTGTTTTGAAAAAAAAAAAAACAAGTAAGTCGTATCTAACACTTTCACTTAAAAAAAATGAATAGTAGGTAAAGAAAGTTAAATAGTGCACTGCCAGATGTTTAACTGCTGATCTCTTAATGAATACATCTACATTAAATATTGATTTGATCTGAAGTTGTTAAAGTACTTAATAAGGAAGGTGTAGAAGTGTTGTACATTAAACTAACACAGCAAGTCCATTTGTTAAAAACGTTTAATCACATAATTTCATAATTTGTCAATTAAAATTAAATTTAGTCAAATAAATCATATTTTCCCCTCTATGAAATTTAAACAAATGTTCTGTAGACTTCAAATATGTCATGTTATATGTGACCCTTGAATTTTTATGTATTGCTGAATATATGATGAAAAAGATCACTTCATTCAGTGTTTATGCTTGTGCACATTTAATATCCCTTTACTATACATTGGTATACTTGTTTGTATTTTTGTTTGTATTTTACACTCAAGTGCCGAGGTAATTGCAAAAAAAAAAAAAAATAATAATGACAATGTCAAAGTATTAGTTTTATGTAGTCCCTATTACTTATTATATGTTTAAAAGATTCCTTCAAAGGAGAAAGTAAACAAAAGAGAGAACATCTTATATTAAAAGTTTGCCAAAGCTTATGTTTATTTATCTTTTGCCTGCACCATGAGTGCCCTGTCCCTGATACCCAGCATCCACCTTACAATCCAGTGCATTAATTATACTTTAATTTACTTTTTAAATAATATTTTCGTTGAAGCTAACATCAAAAGAAGAATCCATTCAGCTAAAAAGACTAATGGAGCAACAATGTTGAACATTCAGCTTTGCCACTGTAGGAATAAACAACGTTTGAAAGCAAATATTAAAATAGAAAACATCTATTTTAAATTGTAATAAAATGGCTCTTTTCATTGTAATTTTCATCAAATAAATAAAGCCTTGGTGAGCACCTCTGTGATAATCACCACTTTTAAGTTTCAAATATTTGGTGAATCTCAGTTTCACAGATTTGTTGAAGATCAGGACTCAAATCACTGGATGAGTGTTTTCAGACTAAATAGTGTCTGCACTTCCAGACATACCAAATACCATCAGCATCTTATTCAAACACACAAAATATAAAGGTTGAATGTAAGTCTTTAATTAAACTGTCCTTCAGCATGCTGAAATCTTTAAGGGCTTTCATTAAGCAGAAATGTTTTCTTTAAATAAAATGAGAAATATATGTTTCCAAGTCAACAAAACACTTGAAGGAAAAACTTGAATGATTTTTCATCAAAAGATCCTGTAAGTGCAGAGATTTTAATATGAAGTATGCCATACCATTCTATTAATGTTGCTATAGATTTTGCTAATTATAAGAGTTTGCATGATTAGGTCCTCAGTCTGTGATGTTCAGCCATTAAGCTTTACTTTGCAGCTTCTGTGAGCCTTTTCATTTGATGCCGTTCAGCTTGTAGAAATTTGCATTTGTTTTGAGCCAATACATTCTCACTCCCAAATCATCAGAGTTTGATGCTTGGCCAGAACCCCTTGGCATCACTTTAGCACTCTGGGTACCCTGTTGGCATCATTTTCCTATGTGCTGGGGACACTATTGCTTTCTGTGACAAACTTTTGCATCAGTATGTGATGAGAAATTTGTCATCAATAAATTATTTATTAGAGTATAATACTGATATTATAACATATGTTGTGAAGTTTTCTGGTTTAACAGCAACACAGTTCTTCTCATTGTATTTTTTAAACATTTTTTTAACACCTAGCAATGCCCAAACACTAAACATTTTCCAATTTTGAAATGACTTGGCAAATACGAGCACAGTCAAAATGCATTAACTTTATCTAAGAAAACACCAACCTGAGCATTAAGGAAGGTGATTAGAGTAAAATAAATCAATAAATAAATAGTCCTACAGTTTGAATAAATCAATGCATCAGTAAACAACCAGTTAAAATGTTATGTTTTAGACCATATTTGCATTTGTGATGAAATGGTACTGTTTATTGGAACATATTTAATAAATACATCATGTTTATTTGTAAAGCATTTCAAAACAACAGACTGGCATAAAACTTATTTCACCTCCCATGAAATGGCTGCCTCAATGTAGTTGAATGCTTTGTGTCTACACATACATATACATGAAACACATTCAAAACTCATGCACATTCATATGTTTACCGTAATTTAAAATGACCCAATTTTACGGAGGAAGAGAGAGCTTAAATGCACCACAAGTTAAGAAAACACATAGAAATACAATGCAAATAGAAAAACACTTGCAAATTCAGAAAACATCTTCATCAGTTTGACAACACATGCACTGCAAACAGAGCACGCACATCATAATAGAAAACTGTGTCAGGGACGCCAAAAAGTGATGGATACAGCAGTATTGTTTAAAGAGCACCTACTGTATGATGCAAAATCCACTTTTGGAATCAGTTTGGACAGTACAGTCATATTTGTAGTGATATAAAGTCTTTTTTTTTATTTCCTGACATTAAAAAATGATCCAAATGCCAGTGATTTTGAGGCCCACTGCAACGTGACTTAAGGTTTTCTCCACCGACTGAATTGATTGACAGGAGCGTATTAACATGTATCTGTAGTGATGCATATAAACATGGCCACAGAACAGGAAATAGCAAAGAAACAGGGCTAGGCTATATGCAGAAGGACTTTTAGATTTTCAGTAACCTGGGTCTAAACTGTATGCCGTTACAAAATCAGCGCTTTTAAGGTCTATTTTCTTTAAAAATCAATGATCTTCACAGCCTGATTGGTATAGGATGTAAAGTGGGTCTCAGAATGTTCAAGAAACACTGTATTAAATTAAAAATTTCCCCGCCATGTCTTTTAAAATGTGAAGATTTGGATTTTAATCTCGTTATACACTTAAACAGCTAAATTAATGCTGAACTGATCAAATCTATTTTAACTGATTATAATTTAATTGCATCACAACATCGATGCTGTAAAAGGAACCATATTAAATTGAAAAAAGTCCCATTAATCGTTCACCGGATGTCTATTGGTATAGGAAGAAACACTAACTGCGCACATACCCTATTAAAAGATCTATTCCAACTCTCTGTGATCAGCTACACCTCAAGAGTGAGTTTTACAAGTTTAAAATGGTTTTAAAACAATGCATGTTTGCAATAAAGAAAAGACAGCAAAATCACTATGTAATTCATAATTTATAAATGGAATCACCAAAGTTGCGTAGAATCAGTAAGACTATATACAGTATGAGGAGGATGCTTCAAACACACAACTGGCACAGGCAATAAAAACAGCTACAATCTCCTCTTAATTCGAAATTCTCATATTCAGGAGGATAAAAAAAAGGATCTGATCTCATAATTTTTTTTTTTTTTTTTTTGCTAAAACTTTACAGACACATTCTAGAGACACAAAACCTTGTTTAACATCTTGTAAAAGGGATCAAATAGAAGCCCTTTAAGTTATGGTGTCAAAAAATGCACCCTAAAGAAATAACACTGTGTTTGATTATGAAATTTGTTATGCTCAGTTTTAATGTATTACGTTTATGTAGAAGACATTTTAGTTATTAAAACTTTTAATTAAAGTAAAATAAAATATAGTTGAATATAATAAAAAAACGCAAATAAACAAACTTTTGAAACCTAAGTTTTATTGTTAATCGCATACATTTAAGGGCTTTAGTTTGCACTACTTTTATGCTGTTGTCTTGACAGTTTTTGTGACCATATAAATTTTTTTCTTTGAGAATTACTTGGCTGCTCAAATAAATCTATGACAGATCATAATTTCTACTTTTTATTAAAAGCACTATTGTACCCTGCACACTGAAAAAAAAATGAAATGACAAGTGTGAGAATGTGTTGGCACTTCTTTCGGAGCATTTCATCCATTCATCCTCTATAATCCTGTTCTGTCCGCTCATGTTGAGTGATTTGGGGGCTGATGGCTGATGATGAGCAGGTCTCCTCCACAGAGAGGCAGTATTGCTCCTCCTCATCCCTCATCTGCCCTGAGAGGACACCAAACACCGCCAGACTGATGGGAAATTGACCCAGTCAAGCCCCAAACCACTGGTGTAACTCCATCAAGAGTAAATCAATCAGAGAAAAACAGCCACTTGATGGAAAGAGAATGGCAAAACCCATAGTTAAGTACGTTTATGCTGTAATTGAGATTGAACTTTACCAGCTGTTTAATGTGATTGTAATCATAATTCTGCACAATTACATCAGCAAAACCCATATTGTGTCTGTCGGCATGTTGAAAGAAAATGGAACATGCCATGTAAAGTCTACATATTTTGTGTAGAGAGATGATTTAGCCAAAATAAAATTCAGTCAAATTATTTACTTTATCTTCAATAATTTCTTTATTTTAAAAAAATGAATAAAATAAAATTACTAAAGGTAAATAACATTTAGAAGAATAGTATACTTAAATATTTAATAAAAAGTACTAAAATTCCCTGTTCTGTTTTCCATTAGATTTAAATAATAAATAAATAAATAAAATATTCACAGGTTTTGAGTGAGGTCTCAGACTTCTGGAGCCCACTATTTCTAAACATATGGTAGTGCCCACCTGTACTAACTGTGCAACAGGAAGGACTATGTGCCCATGTTTGCTTAAGCTTTAGTCAGAGGGAGATTAGAGCAGATAGCACAGTCTTTAGTGTTCCATTCTTCAAAGGACACATTTCATCAAACGCTTTACCACTGTCTGCAGAGCAGAGATCAATGCTATTAAGAACGTAAATCCAGAGGCAACTCATATCTTATTGAACAGTCAAAGAAATCTGAAAAATTAAGAACAGGACTTTATTGTTTCTTTGCAATTATTCTATTAATCAACAATTTTCTTGTTAAGGCGAGAAACTGCAGGCAATTATTTTTCATGCATCTGTCCATTTTGGCTGATCGATCGATTGATTTGATGAATGAATGATTGATCATTCATTCACTCACTCACTCACTCACTCACTCACTCACTCACTCACTTACTCGTATATTGTTTTAAAAGGATTTCTACTGTTCAATTACAACATATTTTTATGGCATTATTTTTCTCAAAATATCTTTGTCCTGCATTAAGCCACAGATTTCAATGTACACTAAACTAAACACGTTTTAATAGCCAAAATGTATTACAATTATCAGACAAATTGTATACAATTTATTCTCTTCTATTTCGCCTTGGCCCTATTTCTTGAATTATAGTATAAATTCAAGGGCCCTATTATACACCTGGTGCATGACGTGATTAAATTTGTTGGTATTTTCAGACCAGCACAACCCTAATTTTCATGTTTTGTGCCACGTTGTTTAAATAGCAAATCTATTTGTGCCTCTTTGTGGACTCATGGGTGTTCCGGCCTAAAAATGAGGTGTGTTAAGGCACATTGTTTTCACGTTGCTATTTTAATGCAGTGAAATTGACAGCCCCATTGACCAACTGAAAGCTGCTCTAAAGTCCAGCACAAAGTGCATTAGTTATGCACCTATGCAGGTCTAAATGCTTACGCATTGCATAATACACACCTGATTTACAGCAATACACAAATATCTTTACAGATGAAAAGCAAACTAAAGGATTAAATTGTTATAAAAATTATTATTTTCTACGTAAATATAAACCTCACTACCTCAATGCCTAATCTCAAGGGGGCTTTTTTAGTTTGTTGATGACAATGTGCACAATGTGCAGTATTATTTATTATATGCATAAGACAAGGGCATGTGATTTTTTTATCAAATCTTTGTGCTTAACAAATGAAATTAAATATGTAGGCTAATAGATGTCTTCATTGGAGGGCGTACAACACTGTTTACTTATCCACGAAAGTAAAGAAGTAAAGTAAAGAGTAAAAATAAAATAAAGAGAAAGTAAAGAGGCCAAATGTAGAAGGCTCGTTCTTTATCCTCACACAGATGGTCTGTTTACCTGTTTGCTCCCCAGTGAATAATTCAGTTTTTCCGCTGACAAAGCCCGCATTGTAAATATGCACTATGGCTTGAGGCAACTGACTTTTAAAGGGCCATGAAACCCCCTCGTTTCAGCAGGGTGTTTTCACACCTCCACTTTGGAAAAAGTCAGAAAAGTGGGGGTGTCCAGCTCTGTTTAGGGGGGAGTGTCGGAGGAACTAAAGTGGGATGGTGTGGGAGTGTCTATTTGGGCACGCGCGAGTTTCAGTCAAAATACACACACAGGAGAAAGAGATGGTGTTTAACCTACATGGACATCTGTAGTGGAATTATTTGCCAAATTATTAACTGGTGGACTTTAACTGCAGTTTGGCTCTTTCATTCAGGGAATTCATTCATGTCCCTCGCGACAAACGCGATATTTGATTCGAGGATCTGCTCTAAGCGTGTATTTTTCATGCAATGTTTGATACCGCACGGCGAATGACAGAAAAAAAACTCCGCATTTCCCGGAAACTTAGACGCACACGGCAGGTAACGTCAGAAAGCCGCGTGTGTTATTCCGGTCACAAAATGCGGTGCTAACATGTTTGCCCTCAGTGCTATAGTTAACTTAATTCGATACGAACAAACTGAATAAACAAAGAGCACTGGTCGCTCACTTACCAAATCTGTAGAGACAGGACAATCACCAGCAACTAGAGCCGCGTCTGAAGAGAAGACTACATCCGGAATCCGGATC